CCGTATGGATTTCTCATAAGGCAATTTCAGTGCCTTATTCCTGTTTCTTCCAGTACTGACTTCCAATAACCTCCTCATTATTTCAATACCTTCCTACTTCTTCTCCCTCACAAAGCCTTCTCCCAGTATCGGTCATCTGTTCACTCAGTATCGTCAGCAGCATTTTATCGAACCCACTTTTTGTCCTTGCAGATTACTGATCAGATCTGAATACCAAACTTTTTTCCAAGAATTTTCTACTGTTACATTCTGCACAGAAGCGCTTGATCCTACCAGTTACCCCAAGTTACCATTCTCCTTTGACAGTAACCTAACCGGAGCCAATTTAAGATTTTCTTGATTCTTTTGCCTGCTTAAAATATTTTTATTTTTTAAATCTGAGTTACCAATCATTGAAACTAAACAGAAAACAAGATTTTATTCTCCGAAGGAAGAGAGTTCAGTTTACTTCCTGCAGGGACTGCTCCCTCCGACTTTTTGCCTCCCTTGCCGTAATTCAAATCAAAGTAATTGCAATACCCTCAGCTGCTATCTTCTTGGAGAGGTTATAAAATCTTTGTTAAACATCCAATTTCCGTTCCTACTACTTTTTTTTAAAGTGTACTAATTTCTGACTTTTGGTAGAGGTAATCAGAACTCTCTCTTAAGAAAACAGGACACAGGGGATGATAAAAAAAGCAAATTTTGTGGCCTTTCCTGGCAGATGCTTATTTTTGCTGGACTGTGGCAAAAAGTTCTGAAATCAAACATACGTCTTCAACAGAGCTAGAAACTTCCCTCAGCTTGTAAAAGTGAGGTATTACACAGGACACCAGGCCAGTTTTACGAAACAGAAAAACGGGGCGTAAAAGGAAAACGCAACTTGTAAATCACGTGAAAGTAACAAAGAAAATACACGCAAAAGGCCACCATCAAAACAGCAAACAGGACATGATGTCCCCGTTTTTCGTATCTGTGTTTGCTTCATATGCCCATTTCTTAAGTCTATAAGAAAACTAATTTTCACAAAGCTTACCGAAAAGATAAATTGTACTTAAGCCTGAAAAGCTAAGTTTCATATACTTAAAACCGGTATAGGCAGCTTTACCTTCTTTTCTGCTTCATATTCTGCCCATGCCGCCTTCCTTTCCTCTTCAGTCAGCTCCTCCTCCTCCTTATGGTCCAGCAGTGAGTCGTGCTCGTGATATCCCACTATATATTCTTTATGGATTTGAAGCAATTCTGCCAGAATCGTATCCTGTTCAAATGAAGAAAAAAAAAAAGAAAAAGAAAAAAGAAATTATTAAAGGAAAAGGCACTCAGTAGCTTTGTTGTTATATTTATTCTTTGTCCGTGCCAAAGCTTCCGCTTTGATTCAGTTTTCACAAGGAGCAGCTCCGGGCACTTCACAGAGAAGCAAAATTAAAAAAATGATTAAACAGTCCAATTTTCCTCAGAGGGCGGGTAATGGAGTGACAGTCTGTTACAGAGATGACAGTCAAATCACTTAATGTACCGCAGGAATGCACTCAGACTCCTCCACAATAAATGCAGTTTAAGACCCGAAACAGAACGGAATGTGCTACATATTTTTTTCTCGGCTTAAGCTGGACACCTGAGAAGACACATCAATAATCCTCATCCACATCTGTACAGAGCACCTTGTCTGGACACAAAACCCTAAGTAGTACTTTGGTCCATCAGCTGTCTATCAGCATTCAATAGAAAAGGCTGCTTTCTTAAAACTGTCAAGATGTATGTCGAGATAAATAGCCCCCCATCTACCTGGATTAAAAAAAAAAAAAGTCAAATCACTGCCATGAACTGGATTTGACCAACAGGCCACAATTTAGACCTCTATATTCCACAATATCCTGAACGTTTAATTGCCTTTTTTTTTTTTTTTAAAAAACAGAAATATTTTATAGGCACACAATAAAATTACAATTAATCTCTTAGTAAAAACTGAGACTTTAGTATTTACATTGTCCTTTACTACTGCAAACTACTGTGAAATATTTTGTTCACAGACATACTAAAATCTATACATATGCAGAAAAAACTCCACAATCCTAGTACTGCTTTCCAAAAGGCAGTTACCAGCCTGCTGAATATTGCCTAGATAAAGTAAAAACACATAAATTAGCTGCTACCCAAAATGCTGAGTTACTGCTGCCCTTGCTTGGACTAGAGAGGCCACATAATGATAGATCCTTCTCTCAAACAGAAAGTGAAATAAAAACAGATAGAGCAAACAAATAGGAAAAGCAGGTTATATCGCAAGTTAGGAAGTCAATGGGTCATTTAAACCAGCTTCCCTGCCTCCACAAGCTGAGTCTTCAACCACGACTTCAAAGACTCAAAGAGGAGTCGTCTTTGCGTTAAAACAAGCGTAATACTGCGGAGGATCAAGAAAAACCATTACAAACCGACCAGCGGCTTCGTCACAAGCGCTACAGAAAGTTGCTCGTTCCTGTGCATGCCTATCCTCAGCTATCTGAGCAAACTCTTGGTTTCAACCTTCTACTATCAACTGGTTTTCTGAAACCTGAACCAACGCTGCCTTCCCCAGCCCCTCAAGAAAATATTCTCGGTGATATTTGCATGACTAACGGGCACAAGAAACGCACCACGGGATTTCTGGGCTAGTGGGAGAGGAAGGAGGGAGGGGGGAGGGAGAGGAAGAGAGAGAGAAAAGGGATGCGTAAGCGGGATACCCGGGAAAACATCTACGGGGAGGGAGTGGAAAGGTTCAGAAGAGATTACAAAATTAATTTAACACGATAAAACCTCTCTCAGCATACTGTAGCTGTACATCAGTGCGTGGAGGGCTCTTGGACATGCATATGCATTAATTTCCATGGTAACACTATTACTGAAAACAATACTGGAATATAACCCAGGCTCGCTTAGCCAACACAGTCTTCAAAATGTGGTTTAAATTACATCCAACTATGCACTTGCTTTTCTTTGTCTAAACTTTATTCTGCATTAACTAAAATGATGGAGCTTGAAGACTGAGACATGGAAGGTACTGCCACTTAATTTAATTAATTTTACAACGCAAAAAATAATAAATTCACCTTACATACAAAAACCAGCAGGAAAAGCACTCCTTTTCATTTGTTTAGCTTGTTGTTAGGAAAATACTTATTGATTTCGTTTATAAGCTTTCGAATGAAATCTTGGTGACGGAGGGAAAAATGAAGATCCTGAAAAAGTTTTGGAATTAAAAAAAAAAAAGTCTCAGTTCTCTTTTCTAAACCCTGATGAAAATTAAATGCTACATGGAGATAACTGTATCAGAAAGGAAGCCATCTCATAAGGGAATACAACCTATGTTATAGTTCATTAAAAACTGTTTCTCTCAACCTATTCAAAATCCAATACCGAGGTTGAAAATAAGAAGGAAGAAACAAAAAAAAGGAGCAAATCCTCCTGACTCGGAGATTCACAGCCTTCCTGAGATTCACAGACCGTCTCACAGTACAGAACTGCAGTAAAAAAACAAAACAAAACAAAACAAAACCCACGCCCTGGCCATGTCCCGAAGCAGCACAAACTAACGGTATACTACATCCAACTGAACCCGAGCTATCGCTTTAATCTGCTTTTCCAGTCTGCATTACACGACCCCAACGGAGCCAAGTTTTCATTTAACACAAAAATGTGATTGCGACTCCAACCCACTGAACAGGGCGATCCGGGGAAGGAGGAGCGAGGAACAGCCCGTGCCGCCGCGCCAGCTCCAAGGGACACACCAGTGCCCTCTCCATCCCACTCGGTCTTCGGCCAGCTCCTCCCTCGTGTTCGCTGCTCCGAAATACGTATCGCCACTGCCAAGGTAAGCCACCAAACAACAAGCACTCATCACCGAGTCCAACAATCAGTATTTGCGGTGGAAAATCTCCTTACCATTTACCTACGTATCAGCCAAGTCTCTACCCCAGCACACGACCCTTTGGGAGATGAGCGTTAAAGAGTCAGTGAGAACCTACTTAAAAACACAATAGTCCAAGCATAAATCACTTTTATTTAACAATGGATCTGGAGTCTTTTTGTTAAGTTCAGGGCAAAGTAAAACACAACATCTGAAATACAATCGTAATTCATTAAACAGAATCTTCTTGCTTTACACCATTTTTTCCCTGTTTAAACTGCTGCTCTACAGAAATAATAAAAAAATGTTGCACACTACTCTGGTCTGTATTAGATAATAAGTCACTAAATCTGCATAAAGCTCATGGTGTGCATGTAGTAATTAGTTCTATACTTACATCAGTAAGCTCAAATCAGTGATTACTCAGTTTTAAGCCACCTGTTACGCCTCTCTCCCACAGAGAGGATTTCTAATGCAGTCAGTTTGCCAATCTGCAGGGATAGCAGATGAGCAAAACCTGCTTCCCATCAGCGGAATTTAAGACCAGTTTAACAGTTCAGGTGAACTTTTACATGGAAACAACATTCACGATAAAAACATTCCGTTAAACCAGAGTATTTGCTCTACGTTCCTCAAGATGCAGAATTTGTCTCCAAGGGCTAAGAGCAGAGAAATGGCACTATTAAGTTACTGTTACAACGCAATATGAATTTTCCCCTTGAGACCTGCATACGCTGGCTCTTCAGTACTCCTCGGCAACCTGACCGTCTTGCTCAGACTGCAAAGCGCAGAAAACTGCTGCTAAAATTAAAACTTGACGTGAAACTTCGACAAGCTTCCAGCCAAACTTACATACTCCATATTCGCCGTGTGACTTTTCATATAAAACAGCAACTTTCAACATATTCCCCCATTAACAACACTTCCTAAGAAAACTGTTCTTTGATTGAAACTAGGATTACTGAGAAAATTAATTCTCCAGGAAGTATTTTTAAAAGCAGCGGTATTTGTTTCTTCTCTTACACAAGGGCTTTATTTCTGACTTTTAAAGCAAACTACAGTGCCTTCTCCCAACACACTAAAAGCAATCAAATTAAAGAACACTTTTTCTTATACCAAAAAAGTTGAAAACTGTGTCAAAACTAGGAGTTGTAAGAACAACCCCAACCTTCAGCCCTGAGGAGTCCTGGCTAAAAATCTTTACTACTACAGGATTTCTACTGAGTCAAGAAGTAGGCTGGCTTTGCAGACATCCAGCAGAAAACCTATCACCCCTCTAGGATTTTCCACGTCCATGCTCAGACGGTTGGCGAAAAGATGGAAGAGAAAACATTTCACCTAATTCCTACGCATAATTCCCACTAAAAGCCACACTTGGAAAGTCTGCCTTTCAGAAGTGAACCCTTCGAACAGTTTTGCACATGTCCTGGGGAAGCTCTTCCTTCGGAGTCCAGCTGTGGTTTTTCTTAATATTTCTAATATATTTATGTGCGGTTATTGTGCAGTTCACCCCGATGCTAAGAATTACATAGGTAAGCCCCTCATCATACTGTCCGCAGTAGTAAAATTAGGCAGCGATACTGTTCAAGTTACGCTGTAAAAGATGAAAAGGCCTGAAGACAAAGAGGGAGAATTACACACAAATCCTGCAAAAAGCAAAACAAAAGCCTCCTTGTAGCCTAACTGCCTATTGTGTTTTGCTGATAATTCTACAGGAACAGTTCAGTTTTTATAAGCAAGGGGTAGGTAGCTAAATGCTGGAAAACAGCAATGCAGGGAAGTGTCCGCACAAAGTTTTACTGGCCTTTGCTTCCAAGTACGAGCTGCAGAAGAGTCAGGTTGGGCGTGCTGAATTTACCAGGACCAAAGCATCCAAGTCTCACGCCGCATGATCTTAAACAACACTTTAACCTCCGGTTGGGGTGCAATTAACGGATGTCACGATTAAATAGTTTTGTAAGCGTATCAATAGTCTTTTCAATCAACTTGTTTTCCCAAACACGCTACAAGAGTGTGACGGTAACTGATTTTACTGTTCTACAATTATAAAGCTAAACCATGCCTCTCTCTTAAAATTGCACTGGAATAAGGAACAGCGAACTTTCCTAAATGAATAAGCGTACACAATTTAGAGCATTACAACATCCCCTGCAATATTTCCTCGAGCTGTTTTGATATTTGCCTTTGATTGTCTACGTAAGGTTTCTAGAGGAGGGGTCAGACTAAAAAGAACAGAGCGTGCAATAAAGCATACAAGTTAAACTAGTGATACGGTAAGTTAGGCACGAGCCACAACGCGGTTAAGCAGATCACAGGAATCGGGAAGGAGTCACTGCAGCTACGGGTGGACTAGCTCGGTTTTGTGGGCAAAGCAAGAACAGTTGTGGAGAGAATGAAAATAAAAAAAATCATTATCAGCTCCGCAGGGAAGACAAATGCAGCGAAAAAAAGGAAAAAAAGAAAAAAGTGGAATAATCAAAAAGTTAAGGGGAAAGGGCTCTGTCTTTACATTTTTCCTAGTAAATTTAAGGACGAGATGAAACAATTCTCTGACAGAAATTCCTACGTGACAGTATACTACCGCTGACCCTCAGCCCTATTCATCGAGGCAAGCCAACCCAACGACAAAATCGGCCCAGAAAGTCACCCTACACGTAACTATTGCTTTTGCGTTTCTCTTTGCACGTGGTGCCCAGGATTCATTAACGATGACTGATAGCACGTGCTATTTGATGTCCTTACAGGACAGGCTTCGCTCCTCTTCTCCAACACCTTGCCCAAATCCCAAACCGCAATTAATACTTTCTAAAATGACCGTTACTGATTTTTATCAAAGCTCCCAAAACACCTCCACCCCCCCCCCAACACTTTGAAGTATTTCATTACAAACAGACCAACTAAACATGAAAATACCACCCCGCACGCCACAGGCTACTCTGCCTGCCAGCTGAAAACGTACATAGAAAACAGTACGCTCTGCATGGCGCTTGGAGTACCCAGAAGGCTCAGCTCTCAACTTCAGCGGGAGCTCAGCAGCCAGCTTTGCTCTGCCCTAGCACAGACCCAGAACCAGCTCAGGGGGACAAAGCAAAGGAAAGGCTATCGGGGGGTTAATGCCTGGCACTCCATCTTCTGCGAGAGTATCAGGAACGCAAAGCCTGGCTTTCCACGAACGCACACACAAACTGCTAAAAGCAGGATGGATAGACCTGAGAGTTTTTAGCTCTTTCAAACATCAAATCCAAGGAAAGCTTAGAAATTTGCACACAGTAGACGTTAAGATGTGCATCTTAGCAAGAACGAAATTCCATTCAAGACCATCTGCTAAATCCAGGAAAAAACAAAGAGAACTCCAATACACGGATTTGCTTTCTTTATAGCCAGGGATTTGGTTAAAAGCTCGTACTCAGCTTCCCTGACACGAACCTCATGTGTCTGGTTGGAAGGGAATTAATATGCAACTTAATATTTACAGCTGGATGCTAAAGTAAGCTTGGAGTTTATAAACCTTCTCTTTTACACTGTACTTCATGAATTGATATATTATTATAAAAGAAAATAAGTAACCTTCAAGATACAATTAGTGCAATGGACTATTTACTCAAAGCATTAATCATATTCAGCTGCTTCACAGGTTTTCCTGTATTCAACCTTTCTTAAAAATACACAGTGGCAGCACGTGGTGATGCATTAACTACTAGTTTGAGGAAGTATAAATGTATATGGCATAAAATAATTGAGAACATAAAAAGAAAATAATTAAGAAATATTACTTATAAGCTAAAGGAACTTATTTGGGGAGGTTAAAAAAAATGAATTCACCCATATAAAAAGTTATAGCAAAAGAGAAGAATAAAAAGTTCAGTTATCTACTATTTATTGCTTATACCGAGAATCAGCGTAACAATAAGAGCTTATATTTAGCCATTAAAGTCTGTTGTCAAGGGTTTTTAAATGAATGTGTTACAGTGACTCTTTATAGGGTTAACCCTTCCTGAATGGCCCTGGCAGCTGCAGGGACGCTGTAGGTGGTCTAACAGGCTCTATTTCCGAGAACGGTGTACTGCCTAACCATTAAGAACGGCAGTGTGATGCTTAACCACAGCTTATTATATTATACTGGTCTACAGATAGTCCAGAATTGAAAACGTGCCATTTTCATTGAAAATAAATCTATTTACAAACTAGAAAACCTCCACCCTTCCTACACCCAGACCATTTATAATACCCACAACACAGCAGTAACTCAGAAATTTAACCAGTTAACTAACTGCAGGCCACACACTTAAGTGTTACTGTTTACTAGCTTTTTCACTTGACAACTACCTGACAAGCAAAAAAGATCTCACAACAGCTTATTGATGAATTCGTCTTCAGCAGACCACATGACATTGCACGTGGACAACACCTAACATAAAGAATAAGACAAAGGACTAAAACACCTTAGGTCTAGCCTTAAATGCAAACTGACATGCAAACAATGAATAAATGATCTAGTCATTCTTTCTCCAGAAGTTTTTTTTTTTTTTGCCAGACTGTAAAAATCATAGCTTATTTTTAAATTTGGTTAGTAGTTTTGGGGGGGTTCCCCAAATACTTCATAGCATACTGAACCGTTACTCAATGGAACGACGAACCACTAGTTAGGGTGCCGCCACATTCACTGCATGTCACTTAAACAGCAAATAAGTTTATCTATTTTAGTACGCTATCTCTATCAACGGTCTCTACAAGAAGAGCTAAACAAGGTAAACTAAAAAAACAAAAAGACTTGGTAAAATAGAGCATGGATTAATTTGCCTATTACAAAGTTTTACCTAGGTATACAAAAGCCAGACCCTGAAGCACAGTATCTCTTCACAGATTTGTTGTCATTATTGAGCTAATGCTACATACCATCAGCACTCATTTAGGTGTTGATTCTTTTGAATTCTGACTTCCAGTTTCCTTGAGCAAAGCTTCTATTCATTCAAATTGGGTGAAAAAGTATTTTTGTTTTGTTTTCATTTATTTTGCCTTTTAACTGAACATCTTTTTCTATGTACCGTCAATTAGACTGAAGGGAAATTCATTACCTATTTTCATTATATCATGCATTCTACTAATTACATATGTCACTATGTTCCCTGCTATTCACCCACCTTCAAAGTGAACGCTACTACTCTTTTCACAGCACTCTCTTCCCTTCCAAGATAAGAACGCCATGCTCTTAATCACACACAAGTTTTTTCCTACCATGTAATTCCTTATGGTGTGCATCAACTTACTTTTGGCAACATAGGTGTATCTCTCTTCTTTTTCTTTTCTGAATTAGGATCATCCAGCAAATCCGGCTCAAAAGTGTACAGCTCTGTAAGCTCATTCATAGTAAAATGACGCTCAACCTGCTGCTGGTCAACAACTCGGAAAGACAATGACTGCTTTGTTACCTGCCGATCATAGATCTTATCTTCCATTGTTCCCTGGAAAACACAGATATTCATGTTCATATAAACACTGGACCTTCCGTCACAGAAGAAAAAACATCAATAAATGTAACAATGCAACAGTGCTCTATTTTCAGGTTCTTTGACCATGCACCTACAGTTATCTGAAAAAAACCCTTTCCTTCATTTGCTGAGAAAAAAAATATATTTACTCCCGGAAATGTACACACAGTAATGTGAACTGTTTATGCGACAGGTATCATACGGCTGATGACTACAGCAAGCAATATCTTTTTCAGGAGTGTTTTGAAGAGATCAGCTTTTGCTCCAATTCCCCCAAGTATGATTACAACAAAGAATGGCAATTTCCACAGCATGTGCCTTATTTTGCTACCTTGATCAGCCTGTAAAAAGGAAAACAGATACCATACAGTGCTGGCGTGGCGGGGGGAAGAGTGGCAGTCAAGACTAATTCATTACAGCTGTGTAAGAACAAATTAGATCTTTGGAAAAAAAAAAAAGCAGGAAAATTACCTTTAAAAAAAAAAAAAGGATGGCTATGTGAAGTATAAGAACAGCAGAGCCTGTTCTGAACACTGCAATTTAAAAAGGATACCAACAGTTCAAAAGTGCACATGAAGACCTACAAAAATAGACTGCAAAAAAAATGTCTGACAGCAATGTGTTTCAAAAAGCAATCTATTTAAGTTGGCAGTGGAAAAGTGACTTGATGAAGAGTTAAGCACTATTACTGGGAAAAGATTTTCCATCTACCAGGTAACAACTGAAGACTAGAAGATACTTTGTATCAGAAATACAGCCATATACTTCAAAAGAGCACAGACCAGTGACCATCAGGATTACTACCCCTGTAAGGCCCACAGGTCAAGATGCAAGTTTTCAAAGCATGATTGGATGCCTTTTAATAAAAAAAAAATCTTTAGCTCCCTGTGCTTTAATTCCAGCTAGATCTTCAGGGCCCCACAGACTACTTTTAAGGTGTCTCCAGAAGACAGCTACGTTAAGCAAGCCTATTGCCTAATGAGAACCATCCTCTAGGCAGCCTATTCCATGAAAAATTTTTAGTGGCGTGCAAATTAGAAAAGGTTGGAAACACTATTCTGAGTCTAGATGCGTGAGACTGGTGACATTCTAAGATTGGTATTGCACAAAGTGTCAGATGAGGTGTGTTTAACAGGAAATAACTTCAGTTCTTGTTTATTTTACCAATACCTTTCCTCCGGTATTTTGTTCAATGGTTTTGGGCCAACTATTGGTATCAGATAGGCCTGGAACATGCTTGGATCAGTGATGAGCACTACTGACCTCAAGTCCGAACACTTACTGGTTCCAGACTTGATTGCAGGACCAGAATATCACAAAAAATATCAGAGAGGAACATACCTGAGCCAAAAACCTGTACACAAACACGGGTTTGTTCTGCCCAAAGCGGTACACCCTGAAAATACTCTGGATATCGTATGATGGGTTCCAAGAAGCATCAAAGATGATTACTCTATTAGCAGCCACGAGATTAATCCCAAGGGAACCTGCTTTAGTGGAAATAATAAACAAGCGTCCTCTGGAATGAAGAAAAATTACACAATTTTAGTATTTTAGAAAACAAATTACTGTTCCTATGTTGCTGTGCTACTGTGGAACTGTTCATACGTTGAACTAACTCAAAAACTTCATTAAAATACCGTATTAAGCATAGAATAGGTAAGAGATTTTACACAGGCAAAACCCAGAGCAAACCAAATGTACACACTCATAAATACAGATCAGAGACTTTCGCAAGTCAATTGTTACCAAGAACTAGTGGGTAAGAGAAAATATATATTTTTTCCAGCTTCTTCAAAATGTAATAAAATTAAGTTATATTGAATTAAACCATAATTTTAAACAGGCATACCCTGCATTACTGAAACTGTTCTGCGGCTAACAAACTCAAAGGATAACACTAGCATGATACTGTCTCCATGATGGGTCTGTTTTTTCTCATTATCATCAGCATTCAGGCTTAACTTAAAATGGGCTCTTTACAAATACCTGCCAAAATACACTATATAATATTAAGAGCATTAAACACTAAATCAGTTTGCTTTGTTCCATACAGTTTGTTTTTTTTATTTCTTTGTACATTTAAAATGATTGCCATTAACTAACTTCATTCTTCTTAAAGGAATTTAGGAAGATGTAGCACCTTCAGCTTCATTAAACTCACTGTCCAGTTTTGCACCTATCTGCCTATCTAAATCAATCAGACTGGAAAGCCCCAACTCGTTCTTTTTTTTTTAAACGGAAAACTGACAAAAAATGTCAGAAGAACAGGAGACAAACACATTAAGATAAAGTGTAGTTTAAAGACGATTTCTACAGACTATGGAATTGTTCGAAATCTATCACAAATCGCGAGCATGAATTCTTGGGCAAGAAACCTTCTAATGGCATCAACAAAACGGGAAAGATCAACCTAAAGGCTAATATGGCCAGCAGATTATGAAAACTGCTGCAAGTTTTGTTCGTACAGAAGCGCCTTTTCCCACCTTTGTGCAATTATCTATTTCAGCTGCAGTAGAGAAATAGTACTTAAAAAAATGGTACAAAAATGCAGGTATTGTATTTCTGTAAAATGTACCAAACTAAAATCATACTTTACCATTTTTTGTCTTCATGTTTGAGCTGATTTAGAAAGACTAGTGAGATACACCTAAGTCAAGTCAACAGCCAACTGTGCTATCAAACTGCCTCTGCTTGTTATATTCTGCGCAATTGGCTACACGCACGCCACGTGCGTGAGAGATGCAAGCATGCCACATCAGAGGGCAAGACATGCAGCAAAGCACGTTATCCAGATCAATAAGAAAGCTTTAACAAAATGACAAAAATCTTAGCAAATTAAAAAACCCTCAGCTTCAAGCACATTTCTCTTCAATAAAAGCAGAACCACATTATTACACCCAAAACTCCATACTAGAGTTTTCTTACTAAATATTTCTTCAATTTAAGTTAAACTTACTCAGCTCAGTTTAAGAACAGTTCTTAAATTGAGCTACATAACTTCTGATTAAAGAGCATATTTTGCAGCCTCTCAATCATCTTTTGCACCTTGGTATTCTCCATGATTAATGTAAATCATTGTATTTAAGAGCAGTTAACTTAAGTCAACACATAAGCAAGCAAAAATATCAACTTTGCTAATACTTTAGATTAATAGCACGTAGCTACAGAGAATTTGCACCCAAGAAATGATATTTATTCACTTAACACCACAGCTAAAGGAATTTTGTTAAGTGGTGCACAGGATGCTGCTCAAGAGGTATTAGTGGCAGAACCTGTATGACATAATAATCACGGTATATTTCGGTTTAACATTGCAGCGGAAGAAGCAAGCCAAATAAAATCAGCACAGGCATATTCAATTTCAAAAAAGAGGTTTATATTAAAAAATGAAACGATTAGTAAAAAAGAAATAAAAAACAAACAAAAACAAAACAACCCTCTGCCCCCCAAGCCCTTAAAAGGAGGAGTCCAAAAAAAACTAAGCCTATAAACAGCCTGAAGGCTGTTTCAAAACACTGCAGCAAAAGCCTAGGTAAACTGTGTACAATAGGTTAAAAAAAAAAAAAAAGGTGTATGGCTCAATATACTATTCAAGGGATAGTTCATAGAGAAAAGACTGGCACTTATAAAATTGAAAGCTTGTCCAAAGGGGAACAGGAAAGCCCATAAAACAAGAGAAGTCAAATATAAACAGGAAATTCAGACAGTTAAAAGGGAATTTGAAGACTGATTTGCAAAGGATGCTTAAATACATCAAAAGCAGTAAAAGCTGGTTGATGACACAGGTGTAAGAGGAGCACTTTGGGATGGTAAGGCCACAGGAAAGAAGGTCAACAATTCCTCTGCATCGGTCTTTCCCGATGAAGATGTTGGGGAGATTCCCACACCTCATGCATTCTTTGTGGCAGGTAGGTCATAGGAAGTAGATCAATTTGAAGTTAATACATGAGGGGTGTTAGATCAAGCAGATCAGTTAGGTGTTAACAAGTCACGGGAACTCAGGAGAACCCTGAGTTCTCCAAGGAACGCGAGTCTGAGATTGCTGAGCTGCTAGAGAAACTGTGCAACCCCTCTGATTCAAAACATGGAAACAGCAGACTGGCTCAAAGAAACACAGCTGGAGGATTTCAAACACAAAGAGAGATAAAAACCTATGTATTTGCTTGGTTCTTTCTTGAATATGTTTGGACCATTTCAGTTGAAATTAAAAAGAAAGTGAACTGTGAGTATAGAAAACACCTGCAGCTGATTTCAGCAAACACAGAAGATGAAAACAGAGTCCCCCCAAAAAGTAGTATACAATTTGGCCACAATTATTGAAGTAAACAAATACGCACACTAAGGAGTGGGGAAAGAAGAGTTACATGTTTAAAACAAAAATATTAAGCAAGTTCTGCACCTGCCACCCTCGTGATATGTTTTTTCATCTGCATACCCTTAAGAGGTTCACCTAACAAAGCAATACAGAACAAAGGAAAGAAAAGGGCAAAAATTTAGCATATACATCATTACGGATCTCACCTCACATTAGTTTCATCATTGAATTCTTCGGCCCATTTCTTTCTCGACTGAGCTGTAGTTGAGCCATCTAAGCGATAGTAATCAATGTTTCTGAACCATTTTCCTTCACCTATAAATGCAAGAGCCAGATGATTAAAATGGTTATGTAATTACCAGACTCATAATACTGGATATACAGAACACTCAGACCACTAAAAAGAGTAAACATTTAACAGAAAATATGCTATTCTCTGACATTTTAAAACAACGGGAAGAAATATTAAGTTTATCAGGAAAGAATCACCCAAGACTGAGAACACTGCGGAGGAACACAGGTGCCTGCCTCAAGCAAGCTCTGAAGATTACATGTTGAAGCTTGCACAATAAAACGTAATACAAGTAACATGACAGAAAACAATGGCAATAGCATTTGTGAGGGTAATGATCATCCACAAGCCTTTATTGCAGTAACTCCACCACATATAAACTCATTTTGTCTAAAATAATTCAAGGGTAGAATAACATAAATATTGTCAATAGCATTTTACCTTACAAAAAGCATCTAATATTTATCATTATCCTTTTCTTCTTAAGATTTTGGTATTTAAAAAAGATATTAAATGAAATGTCTCAAACTGTGCTCTGTATAAAACTGCTTTAAAGGTGTGAAGTTATAACCAAACTGTGTACCAAGGTCAAACTTTAAGTGAAGTATCTTAAAAGAACCTAGGCTTTTCTTGGGTAGTTCCTCTGATTCCTCGCCGTTTCCAGTCATTTGGACACATTTGTAGAGAAGTTTATTTTTTAACTTGGAGCCGATTTAAAAAAGTAACTGTATGTAATCTCTAGGCGTCATAGTACTAACCCTATTTTTCTAACTGATCTTTGTAGACTCATGTTTTCAATTAGTCTGAGCTACAGTCTCTCCCATACATAACATCCATAAGTAAATCCTTAAAAGGAGATTTCAAAAGTCAAGGTCTAATCGTTTTGGAACTGAAATTCAGATCAGCTGTTTGAGTTTAATTATCCTGTGAGTTATGGCTACTCCTTGCCAGATGAAAAAACATAAAAATTGCAGCTGATAGAAGCAGATTTTCTTCCCCTTGCAATTCAGAACTAACCTTTCATTTTCTTTGGCAGTATACATGCACACAAAACAAACTCCACTGTGTCATCAATTAAAATGGAAGCAGCACTGCTCAGTGCAATGAATTGTAAGGAACTGCTTGTTGAGTCACGTCCGGAAGGTCTATATATGGTGAATCTTATTATAATACATAGTCTAATTGCTTATCAAAAGAACTGCTACAAAGAAGGAAAAAAAGCCTTAAAAATTAGCTCAGACTACAGGGACAGACTCTAAAAATACAGACAACTCAAAACCGGAAGATGACAAACGTTCAGAACCTAAGAAAGCAGTAGCCAGCAGCAGTAATCTGTGTGAGAGAGAAAGATACTGGAGCATCTTCCTCTAAACTACAGTGCTGATACTGCTAAGCCACGTTTCTCTTACGCAAGTGTTCAACGTGTTTATACTTAGAAATAAGATATTTGAAAGGAATGACAGATTCAAAGACATTCTTCAATCCACACATACAGGGAACTGAAGCTTCCACATGAAAATGAACTGAATCGTCAAGAGCAGTGGGAGGACTGCACGGAGCAAACAAAAGAAATTTCCTGCGCACCGGGGTTAGCGAGAAATTCCTCATCATTCAAACACCACCAGGAAAATGATTAATTCAATACACTGCTCTCTCATGGAATCCATAAAACAATCCACTGCAGTACCTATAAAGCCTAAGGTGACACTGTGCATCTAATCTCAAAACAAACACTGCTTTAACGTAGTATAGCTTTTCTTCATTCTCTCTCTCTCAGTAGGAAGTCTCAGAATTCACCACCTATCAGCATACAATGACACTTTTGTGTAAAATTTAACAAAACGCCTTCTCTCCTTTCAGATGATCAACATTTAATTTGTGCAGGCTATATTAAACACAGATGATACAGAATGAATTCAGAAGCAAGAGTCCATAATGGGATAGCACAGGCAACTTACAGAGCAGACCAGCAGCCCTGCCAACTTCAGACATGGTACAGAGCGGACAACTTGTCTAACGAAAACAATTTATTTCAACTCCATTCCCTTTGGACTGAGCAGAGAGTTGAAAAAGAGTCATTAGCTGTGTAACAGTTCTCGCTGACACTCACCTTTATAAATAGGAGGCTTTTCTTTGTCAGTTTTCTCCCCGTTGGCCAGCTCCAGAAAATCTTCTATCAAATCCAGTGATATTAGGGACTGGCTAAATACTAGGCTGAAAACAGAAACAGGGAAACACACAAAATTCACCTCTGAAGTTATTTTAATCATTGAACTGGTTTCTTTTTCTTCCCTCCTCACTCTGATGCTACCTTTGAAATAGCCTTTCTAGACAGAGTCAATGCCTTCGACGGAATACGGGTACGTACGGGAAAACTCTCTGACAAAAATGAATGCAACACGGATGTTTGTTTCAGACAACTGAGCTACGGCATTACGAAGACTGAATGAAGAACAGTGACGGGCTAATATATTTACACAGTCCTTAAAAATACTTACACTTTGTCCCCAAGCTCCTCTGCCATACGAAGAATTTCAAAGAGAAGCACCATTTTCCCAGAATGCTCCAACACTTCAGCATCTGCATCCGTAACGAAATCCTTGTACCAATCTGGAGCTGGACTGCCAGGATTGGAAGAGGATGTAGCTTTACCTGCAACAAATAAATAAATAAAAATTATTAAAACTAAAACTGAAAGCATGAGACTCTGTAAATACTTAAACTTCTGAACTCCAAAATTGTCTCCTCATTATTAGATGGCATGAAATGAGTAAAATATGCAGTCACAAATCTCATTTCTGTGTTACAGAATATTTGGACAAACAGCTCTGCCATCTGCACCTTTTCCCCCAGAGTATTTACGAACAGCTTTGTTTCCATGTTGCATGCATCTTTGAAAACTCATCCATAAACATTACAACAACTGAAACAGAACTTTTTACGAAGCAATCTCAAACAAACAGCTACAACTCTTGGAAAAAGAACAGTCTTTTGAGTTACCCAGTTCACCTATCAAGAGAACTCTCTGGAAGAAAACTCCCAAATGTTACAGTTTTTTAATACTCACCATACGTAAACCATCTCGTATTATTTGTCAAGCTCAGATTTAGAATTTTTTTTCACCTAGGCTAATTTAAAAGACAAGCTTAGCAGTACGGTATAGGAACAAAAAGTACTTTTTTCTCCTTTTATAGTAATTCATAACAGAGGGGGGAAACAAACAAACAAACAGATTCCACTATCGTACGCTGCCTTTTTGCTAAGTTCTTTAATAAAATCTTACCGGCTGCTCACCTGCTAAAATTACTGCTAAACTAATAAAACACATACCGGGAACCATCCCGGGTTTAACGCCTTAGTAGGTGATATAAGTTAGCTTTGCTAATTTGACTGAACTCCTACAAATACAGGAGTACAAGAAAGAACTATAATATTCCATTTCTCAGCATATAACTACACCAATAAAACTACGCACCTAGCAAAACAAGTCAGGTTTGTCTGGGTCCAAATCACCCACTCCAAAGTGTCAAAAGCAAAGCACGCCCATCTTTAAAGATACTCATATTGTATTTATTCTGAAACACTGCTGAATTCAACCAGGAGAAAGCTTATATTCAGCTTTATAACCTGAACCAGAAAGCCAGACAGGAACCAGGAATTATCTGTATTTATATTACTTAATTTCTTTTTCTGATATTGTACGGCCTTCGGTTTAACCTCCTTTGCATTAGAGTGACACAAACTGATTAATTATAAATATAACCTCAACTTTTTTCGCTTATAAACTTTGAACTGACTGAAGTATTTACTTACATAGTAGGAGAAAAGTGTTCCATCTCACGGGCAACTCAAAACATTACAGCGAATCAATCCTGACGTAGCAGTAACATTTTGGGGGCAAAAAAAGAACTGACAGAACTCACATTTGAGCCTTCCTTCGTACAGTCTTTTACAGAATATATCTTTCAATCCCACAGCGAATGACAAACAAGTTAGCCAAAGAAGAGACCCAGATGCACAGTGGGAAAATCCTACATACACCACCCGTTCCCATCTTCACCCCTAAACTTTGCAGAAGGGCCTTCTCCACTTGAAATGAGATAGCAAGTCTACTCCCACGCCTCCTCTGGAACAGCATCAAATGTTTGTTTAGCACTTCTATACCCACATTAAATCGGGCAAGGCTGCAAGAGACAGACTTAAACATTCAAATGATCTGTATTCAGAAATTCATCCTTCCTATAAGGCAAGTAATCAATACATTTAATTAGAATCCGTATGTGTACCTATTTCTCACGTACACAAAACCCCCATTACACACTTACAATACATGCTCGTCACAGTGTCAGGAACAAAGACAGAAAAAAAATGAGTAGTGATGGATTATTAAAGAAAAACATGAAAACGTAATATACAGACACACACAGCTTGAAAAACAAATCTTAAAAAAGGTCTTCTACTCCTGCCACATTATAACCACCTGCTTGCTCAATAGCTATTTGAAATCCCAGGTGCAACACGGAGTGACATACATACTTCTTAATCTTTCCATCCATATTTCACCGATACTTCTAAGCAGAGATGAAAAGCAGCACCGTTCTCTGTTCAACCTGTATCATTTCGTACTTCCGCATTCAAAAATTAGCTGTTCAGCCTCCCCACCACAAGACCCCTCAGGCTTTAAACTGATGCTCTTTATTTTTCCAATAGGCATGTATCATTACAAATAGCAGGGGCTGTAAGCACAGAATTGGTTCACTATGTTACGGAATTTGCCATTTTTGGCAAACAAAGGAGAATTTCTGACAGGCCTTTCAGATCACCTTTTCAAAAAAGGATGCTGCATCATATCTGGTTTACTTGTACACTGCACTCACCTTCATCCGATTTTGGAACAGATGGAGGGTTGTTTACAAGTTCCTCTGCGTTTCCTTCTCCACCTCCACGAGATCTTGAATTCCAGACTTTAATGACTTCAACATCATTATCACTGCCACTCGCACTTGAGCTACTCTCTTTCCTCCCTTTTTTCCCCTTGGTTTTTTTTTTCCTAGAAACATAAAATTATATACCCCTTTATTTCAACAATATTCTCCTGCTAGAGAAGGTATTAGAACATAAATAAAATAAACATTTACTTTTATACAAATCACTTAAGTTCTATTAGGGAAATAAATCCAACAACAAACAACAAATAAAAGCTCAATTACTTTGCATAATCATCAGAGCTTAAACTCATTGAAGTTTCATCGGAATCTGAAGCTATGAACTCATCCAGACTGTCTTCATCAAAATAGCCCTCAAAAGAGAAAAAACAGAAATTTTATTAAGTACTCTCATCCAGAAGCTTTTATTAAACCTTTAGCCACCTGCTTATTCTTCATTTAAACAATGGTAAGTTCCACAAAGGATTGGCCTCGCAATGTGTTTTAAGAATGACAACATACCCAGAAATAAAAATACGACAAAAACAGCAGCAAAATTACTCTACCCCACAGCAACAAAGATTTCCATTAATTTGATGAAACTTTACCTAGCATTTGGCATAGCTTATTTGGAAAGTTCTCAATACAGAGTATTTTGATATATCTAATTTACCTTATTTTCTTTGCTAATATAGTCCAGCTGCAAACACCAAGGGTGAGTCCAGATTCTGCTCAACATCTGGAAATCCTGGAATAGCTTAGCTCCAGCTTTGCCTCTTCCACCTTCACTGCCACTACCTACACCTGACAATAAAGTTCAGATTTTAGAGCAAAATCTTAAAGTGAGTTTGCCACATACTGTTCCCCTTTGAACAATCCATTAGTTCGGTACTGAGCGTTCTTTCCAGATGCACATCATATTGTAACGTCTCTTGTAAAAGAGGTCGAATTACTCAGTCACAGGCATTTTTTTCCCTAGTTAAAGTTGTCAAAATTAGATTTCCCCCTTTTCTTGATAATAAGAAACATGATTACGTTTTTACATAGAAGCACATTTCTCTCCAATACAGGAATGAATCCAAATCCTGTTAAAAGGATAGTCATATCTATTTAGGTTTTGTAGAAGTTAGGTCTTAAAAAGCAGCCCAAGCTAGAAAAAGCAAAATAAAATTTGCATTTAGGATTCAATGAATTTGGCTTATTGTTCTCAGCTAACTTCTTTTGGTATGACTACGTTAATCTGTCACAATAAAGTATCTAAAGATTCCCAACCTATTTTTGTTGTTCAAACCCAAATTCGTGCAAAAAAGTAAAGCGTTTGCAGAGCTTTTTTTTTTTTTTCTCGTGTAGCCTCAATTACTCATTAAGCAACATATTAACTGGAGGTTCTTGAAGCTGAGTTATTAGGGATATTTATTATTTCATATCTATTACAGATACATAATTTAAGGCACATCTAACTACAAGAGAATAGAATTTACTGCATCACAATTATCAAATATCTGTGACACAAGAGGCACAAAGTTTATCCAGTGCATTTGTTAAATAGGCAAGGCAATCCCAGTAAAACACAGAAGGCAAGTATTTCAATGAAGCAAACTCTTGATAGTTTTTATTTTTACAACAGTTTCAGGTTTCTTCCCATTTGTGTTTCCCTATGCCTCTGGGAAATACGATTGTAAGAAAAGCAGAGTATCTTAGGTCTGTCTTCCCTAAACCTGAGCTAACAACAGAGAAACTTACTGCGCTGAACTCCAAGTTAGTATTCCCTAGAGATTTTACACTACGCTTTCTGTATAACAGAAAAATTGAAGCAAAACATGTATCATTTTCATTAAATGAAGGAAAACTGAAATACTTGGTAAAACTGTGTCTAAAGTATGTATATTTTAGCTATATGCCTCTGCTACAGGGCATGGGAAAACATAATTAAAAAAATACAGAGGAGAAGAAAGATTTCCCCTGCTATATTCATCTTCAATAGGAAGGCTCACTTTTTTATTTAATGAAAATCCAAGAGGCCATAGTTAGACTAGACAGCTTGTTTTCTCTAAAAGAGGCAGTTCCTCCTTCCTTCCTTCTCTCTCGTTTCCCTCTTCTTCCTCATATTGCCTCTGGCACTGATCACTGGATGATTTGATTCAGCTCATCAAACTGGCAGGAAACTAACCCAAAATTAACAGAGACAGAGAAAAAAATGCTTTCTACCAGTTCAGGGAGTTGAATCAGCCTGCTAGGGAATAAGTCATGAAACAGGACCAGCCCTTTAGACAGCTGCAAACTTAGAGGAGCTCAACTAATTTTGCCGAATCCTCAGTGTCTAGACAGATTAATTACACTACCTGTCCTTGACTGAGGTAGGGAGCGCATTTTCTTCAAGTTACAGATACACAACCTAACTGCTAAGAAATTAATGGTTCCAAACAACGCAGCCAATTTGAAACCGTAATAGGCTCACAGCCAGAGCAAATACTTCCCTCAACTTTAAGGGACACTGGATGAGGGGCTACTACTTCTTATCTGCTGCCCGGTTTATTAAAAAAGGAAGCACTGAAAGCTATTGTACGTACAATAAAGACTTCTGTACACAGTAAGAAAAGAAGAACTGTAACCACGCAGTGCTAGCTCTTGGGCTAATCAATGATCTCTAAAAGATCTACTTTGCCATCTAAAAACATGGTAGACCAGCAGAGCCGGCGTTGCGCAGCCGGAGAGGACAAGAACATTCTGACGCTCTGCACCAGAAATGGGCCAAACAATCTGTACAACTATTGTGGCCGTCGTGAGAAAAAAATAATTTGCTAGGAGGAGCAACAAGACTTTAACCTGACTCATTCAGACGCATGCCTGTACAGTGAATAGCTAATGCTTTTTATTTTTAAGCTACCAGCTTTCGGAAGACACTTGGAATGACGCAGAAACGAGCAGAACGCAAATCAGCTGCTTCTCCGAGAGCACGCGTATAAGGAGGAGCCAACACGGGACAGACTGCAGCAGTACTAACCAGGAACGAGCACTACACAGCGGTTTAGGTTTGTTTATATACTGTTTTGAAGCATATTAATGTAACCCCCCCCCCCCCCTTTTTTTTTTTTTTATAAATAAAATACCATGGTTTTACTCCCTTAAAATAAAAGGGCAAGGTCTGCACTTAGCATCCAATTATTACTGGAGATATCGGTGGAAGTGACATTATGTTCACTGGTCCTTCAAAGCTCTCTACTTCTGTAACTTACACCAAACGCAGACCAGAGCGGACAGAACTCCAGAAAGGAAGTCCAGCTTGCAGGGTGCCCAGGAGATCTCAAACTACATTACCCAGAGTCTAAGTCATTAAGACAACACAGTGAATTTCATATTGCTATAAATGACAGCTTGATTTGATATACAACTAATCTTCCTTGTAATTCAACTCAGCAGAGTAACCAGAAGAGAAAAATAGTTAAAAAAACCCAAAAAAACGAAACAAAGCCTGCAGCAGTGGCAGACAGGCATTTTAAGATATGTGGCTTATCAAGCGCAAAAAAAAAAAAATTAGTAAACTGGCATATCAGTCTCTGTAACACATTTTGTAGCCACTGCAAAAAGCAAATACGTGCTTCAAAGCTTTAGACAAAAGCCCGCCTATCATCAATGCCTTACCTATATTCTTGACTATGGAATTCAACCCCTGATCATGAAGGCAATTATTATAAACAGTATTCAAACAAACAGGATTGCTCCAGAACCCAAAAGCTGCTGCTGCTGCAGAATCCTGTTGCTTAAGGCCTGGCCATACGCAAAACCTCCGTTAGAGCTCCTCGAGATACCATTCCCACACGTCGCTCCTCAGAAGTGCTGTTGATGTTTAGATACTTCGATATACTAAATTACCAGCCTCAGTGGTTTTTTCTCAAATATAAAGCGAACAGCACAGAAGCTTACAGTACCTCTATTTTTTTTCCCTTATATATCTTTTCAATTCAACAAGTTTATTCTTAATTTGGAAGAAGTCAGTCCCCGAAGAAAGACAGACCAGTCAAGACTGAAATTGAAAGCTGATGAAAAGCCTGGTCACTGCAAAAAACAGACCTGTGGGTTTTGAGAACAAGAGGAGAGACAGTTCCACAGAAGAGCCAATATCTGACAAATAACAGCTTCAGCGAGCATGATGACAAAAGGAAATTGCAAGGCACTTAGTGCACTTAGACCACATCTTTAGTTTGGGTTCTCACCTTCCGATCTTACTGTCAGTAATTTGTTTCTTTGAAGAGTAAGACATTAAATGAGTTACGTTTTATGTTTAGAAGAGGAAGAAAAAGGAGAGATGAACCACAACCTGAAGGCAGGCTACTATTAACAGATGTAAATACTAGGCTTCCTCAAAAAATATTTGCAACCAAATGTTTTGTTGTAATTCCATTTTCAGGGTTAAGGCAGATTTTACAGCAAGCAGCAGAAACACATCTGTAAGGCTGATTACATATATATTATACACACACACACACACACACACACACATAAACAAACAAGCAACCAATGAAAAAAGCCCATGTTAAAAAGACCATTAATCTTGTTACCCGAGAGAGTTGTAGTTACATACCTGTCAAATGATCCAAGTAGTACTGGTACAGCTTGCACTGAATAGGTGTCATTCTCACTTCTAGAACGTACTCATATTTTGGTGGGAGGAACTTTGTTAATGCTGTGTAATCTTTCCTCTGTAATTTTACAAACAGAATTTTAGTCATATAAACACAAAGATTACTATGCTGAGCTTAAAAACTTCTGGCATCTTACATGACAAATTACATTGCATAAATTACAGTAACTCAGATGTTACCTAACCACAAAATGGGGGGAAAAAACCCATTACATACAGGCACTATCTGCATAGGCCCTGCTTAACCTATGTATACGTGGTTGTCTAGACAAGAGTACATGAGTAGATAGTATATGAGTACCACCTAGTCAAGAGTATATGGGGTTAATGAACCCCATGTCCCAGTTCTAAGTCCTTGCAAAGTTGATTGCAACTTCAATAGCTGCTCTGATAACTGCCTTTTTTGGGGGGGGGAGGGGGTGTTTGTTTTAATACTAAAACCTTTTTTTGTGAAAGCAGGGTAGGTCAAGCAGCTAATACCAATGTTTGCATCACAGATTAACTATCCCAACTCAAGTTAACTGTTTTCTGTTTTAGGGTATGCGATTTCTGTGCGCTTTGGGCCTAGAGCATCACATCTGCTATTAGGCTCCCTGTACCTGGGTTTATACCTCCTAAGGATACACTGACATTTGATAAAAATTACGTATTTTTTGGTACTATTTTCTAGCTAATAATTATTAATCTATAAATCTAGTAATCAATGAAAATATTTAAGTCAAAAGTGATAGTTGGATACAACAGACCACTTTAACAGCAAATTTACAGGATGACAGGCCTTTCAATGCTTTTATTAGAACACAATTAAATAACTCCTCCCCCTACCAGCTAATTCAAGGTAATCGCAGGAAAACAGTTCTTACCTGAACACATCCAGCTAACATCTCATAAAGAATATGTGCACGCTTCTTCATTACTCTGACATCTACCAGAGTGGAGTCCGCACACTGACCATTCTGAATTGGATTTATAAATCGATTTCGGAATTCTTTAATTGAGCCAAGCAAATTCTCCTTAATAAAGTTAACCATGCAATGATCTAGGACAGAAAGATCAGGCTCCAGTTGTTCAAAACGACAAGTACAGCACCCATAGAAGGGTTAATTCTAACAGAAAATGAATATGTCTTATCTAATCTAAGAACTACCATCTGCTGAGTAAAAAAAAAAAAATTTTTTAACAGCATTTTCAGGAAAGGGTATCATAAACTGATACATACTTTACAAATAGAAGTCATTTTGCAAATTTAATGTCAGATTTAAAGCAATTTCATCTCAGATGCTACCCAAAGTTTCAGAGCTGATGCACACCAACACATTAATATGAGACAATCATATTCATAACGATTTTGCAATAGATTCAAAAGCATATTAATCAACAGTAGCAAATATTACAGCCTATTAATGACTAGAAGCAAATATTGTATGCTAATTTAGAATGAAGTTCTCAAAACAGTAACGTAAGTCACTGTTGTAGTAAAGTTACTAAGAACACTGCTCAACAATAGTTTAAACCAATCTAAGTTGCTGCTGCAAGACCTGGTCCACCCTTTTCCCCTCTGAATATTCCCTCCCCTCGCCTTTCGACATGCTGACACTCATCTGATTCTTTGGCGAGCTACAACAAGGAACTAAACTGTCATAAAGCTATTCATTTCAGCAGCGTTAATTTTCCAACTCTTCTTGACTGGCTCCCTGAGAGATCAGATGTATGCAAGGAAAGGCATGAGGAAAGATCATAATCCCAACAGCTTCACGCTAGCTTGGCTTAAACTGTCACGGAAACACACCTTAAGGCAATGACTTAATATACAAAATGCAAAAAAAAGAACAACAAAATGATATTTTGTTAGATAAAGAATCACAAACAGCCTTATCATGGTGTTCTTCTCTAATCAAAATAAATCCATCTGTAATTATATATTGCTGAAGGCCAAAGGTATATTCAAGGAAATTAGCACTTCTTAAACCAGAGAGAAAACTACTCACATTCTATAAGATTATTTTGTAGTGGTGTTCCTGTAAGAATTATTCTTCTCCTAGATCGAATTGAATTCATTGCCTTAGAAACAGCAGACGCTTCATTTTTTAGTATGTGCCCTTCGTCACAAACAACAAAGTCGGGGCCTAGAAAAAAAGAACAACGTTAGATCTCTTCTACCTTTTATAACCACAAAGAAGCTGGCAGATTGAAGAAGTCCAATTTTGTCTTACTAAAGTTTATTATGTTTTTGAAATAGTCTTGTTTTGGCTATATTAAAGTTCTTATTTAGGCTTTGTATAGGTATTCACAATAGGTGGTCTGGGAAACAACACCGTTGCTTATAAAATCTTTGGGGGCAGAATTAAATACGGTTGTGCAATACAGTCCTATAAAAACTATCTATCCATTCATAAAGTGCGTGCATGTTCATATTGTCTTTCACCCTGCCAAAATTTCATAAAACTGTTTTTTTAAGTTCAGCTCATGCTGCCATCTACTGGTCACCAATAAATTATAACAAAACTGAAAACCAGGTAATAATTGGGGTTTTTTTTTTAAGTAAGACAGCAGATCAGTACTGATATGGGGAAACAATGCAATTTAAAGTCTTATCTAAGATACGTGCACACAAATCTGATTTGAATTACAGAGAAATGAATTGCCACCGTGTAGCTGAACATCACAGCTGAAACGTCCGCAACTGTCTTCTAAGAGATAAGGTCAAGGACGCTAGACTGAAATTCTAGACTAGTAGCACAAGGAGCGTCAAACGCACGTCACGAGACACTCGCACACTATGCAAAGCAACTACAGCAGAATTATGAAGCGTTACAATGTAGGGTTTCAGATAAAGCACATGAAACTCAGCAGAACGGATTTACGCATCCTCATGGTTTTAAGCTTTGGAGCAACTTCTGGAAGCTCTTTCCTTGGAAGGAGGAATAAAAGACACTCTAGGATCCTACTAGTCACTCAGAACACATGTTTTACCAAATCTAAAATGGACCAACCCCAACATCATCAGCCACAAAGATGGCAGAAGCCAGCTTTTGGGTCTTTGAAACATACCACCCAAAACCATCAGCTGTGGTTAGCTACTCAGCGCTAAAAAGGCTGATATTTTAGGTACCAAAGGAGAATTTATCAGCACGATCAATTTAATCTAATAATTTGCTGAGATAGGTTCTCTCAGACTGTAAGGGTAACTTCAAACCAACTGCTAGAGAAGAGCATTAACCCTAGGAAAGCGAGCAACAACAGAGAAAACCAACCACTTTGATCACTTGCATGATTTAATGCTCATGCCAGACATCTTAATCTTGTCATTTTAAGCCTCAAAAAGTGGTTTAAATCTTACGTGCTAACAACAGAAAAGCCAATCAAGCTGACCCTTTTTTCTAAGCAGGGGAAAAAAAAAACCTTCTAATCCAAGTCCAGAAAGCAACTATGAAAATCCACTATCTATTCGAGTTTCAAACATATGTAGACTTGTCTGAGTTTACTTATTTCTGAATTCTCCTCCCTATCATAGAAACTTCCCCCCATACCATTTCAAGACTTTCGAACCTGCCCCGTTTGGGGAGCACGCACGCCACTACAACGCCTTCCTCTCCCTGAAAGGTCAGGCAAGCATCTCTCACTAGTGACAGGTTCTTTCTGCGGTCCCGATTCTGAACGGCCTTGGGGCTAGCTGAGACGGCCTGGAGATTGGTTCCTGGAACTCGAAACATTTGCAAGGCTTGGCAAAAGCTCCCCAGCGGATTTGACCGTTTGCACTTTGACACACCCATTCGCAGCAATGGATTTGCTCTAGTACCTCCTGTTAATAGCAGAATCAAAGCCTATTAGAAAAGAAGGATAACGAAACCTTAATGACGATTAGCGAGCAAAGTTGTGCCAATGCGCCAGAAATCACTGTTTCTGGATAGACTGTGTTTCGTTAACATGAACAAAGTGGTTAATTAAAAAAAAACAAAAAACTGTCGTTTAGACTAAGTAAATGAACAGTAAAAGCATGAAAAAACTTAGGGTAATTATTTTTTATTTGTTTGGGAAACATGTAGCATTCATATCTTGAACCAATATCTTGGCTACAATTCAGGGGCAAAAATTCATAAATTCGGATTTTTTTTTATTGTCTAAAAAAAAAGAACAAAATTACGGGCAGGTTATTTCTCAAAAATCGTATGAACGAAGGTAAAACTTGTACTTGGAGGGACCTCCAGGGATCGTTTAGCCGTTCAGAGAGAGTGGTGTACCCTCCCTGACAGAAGGAGGAAACGCCACGACCTCTCTTTTGCTAAAATACGTTGCGTAGCTGCAAATCAAGACACATTCTGCCTTTTCCTTTCTTCGACTGATGTAAAAATCAACTGATAACTGTTCCTCTCTGTAATCCCGTCTCAAATGGTGCAGAATGTGTCAGTTTAGTCGTCTAGCTTTTTCTAAGCTAACATGCTTTATTCCTTCAATCCTTCTTTAAAGATCAGTCCCCATCTTATCCTTCTTGCTGAACTGGCGCACATTAATATATTGATATATATACACAACATGTTCAGTGAGATACATGCATACAGTTCTCCTGCTACTCTGAAGCCTATAAGAACCTCAGTTCAGTTTTATACAAATGTCAATTAAAGAGCTCTTTCCAAGCTAAACAGTAATGGAATTTTTACTAGTGTTAACGCAACAACAACAAAAAAATTCCTGAAATGCTGCAAGCATAGCACAACAGCTATCAATAAACCAAACAGCGTTTTATCAGTTGCACAAAGCATTATGGGAAGTCATTTGTTGCTTTGCATGAGCATATAATCTTGTTGTTATTTCACATAGCAGAGCTAGTTAATTAATGAAATCACTTCTCACACTATTTCCCCCCCATAAACTTTGGCTAAACCTTCCCTTTCTGGTCCCCTCTTCGGTAGTATACTGTGCAGCGTAAGCTTCTGCTGCAGCACGCGTCTATCCTAGCAGTGTTCAGCTTAACCAGCCATATGTTGTTAAATTATCGCTCAAATACCAAATTTGCCACTTTTTAAATTAAAATTGCTCCCAGAGGCAAAGGTTTTCTCTTTTACAGTCACAGCAGTAAGCCAGCGCATAGCTTCATAACTTCTTTTTCACTGGCAGCTAGCTATATTGCCAACGATTGCCGTGATTCAAGGGGATAGAGCAAGAAACGAGTAGCGGTTGCTGCAAGATACTTCCCGCCAATTTAGCCAAAACACGTCCAAAAAACACTGGATAGCAACAGAAGAACACTTCTGTCTTTTTGTAATTAGTTTAAATAGAGAAAGACTTGCTGCACCGTAAAAATAATTACTAAGTTATTTCAATATTAGTTTTCCTAACAGTCTGACTCCATTCGACTAACCAGCGAATCTAACAAAAAGATCAAAACACGGTTTCCACGTTCACGTGAAATTATCCAAAGCCTACAAGGCTCAGGGTGCTGCAGTTTCTGAGCTGGATTAAATCTACTCAAGTTATTAACCTATTCACAAGAACTGCACTATCGAGCTGTCCCAGAACGTCTGAATAGATCTGGAAGTAGAGCAGAACAAAACCCTTGTAAGCGGGACGTAAAAAGCAGAACAGATTCACAAGGACTGGGAAGGTCACACGAGATACTGTCTCGTCCACCAGACAGACACCAGAACCACGGGAAACCTGACAAGTGCTCCTAACAATTTGAAGCATAAAGCCCAAAACAAAAAGATCTTATGTCTTGCTGAAATGCAGACGTCTGATTTTTAAGACAACAGCACTATTCACAGTCAGAGGTTTCATGATCTCCAGAGACCAAACGTTTTCCAGCATTTCACCCTGCTTGTCTTTCCATCTGCTTATAGGGGAAAATCATCACTTAGTTCCTACCAGTCTGGCCACAGATCCCCGACCTAGGTGGCTGCAGCCTATTAGGTTGTCGACTTTCTCAAAATGCTTCTTTATCCTGCTTACTTCTTATCTTTCGCTAGTCCTGACTGTTCTTCACATCTGAGGTTTCTCAATTCAAAGGGAGACCAGTTAAAGCAGTACATTCACTGCTGATATGCTCAATTTTGACCAGTATTTTAAATGGCAATTTCATCTGGATTTGGGCTTCTTAACTTCACATCTCCCTTTTTCTTCGTTTCTTTTGTAAGCCAAATTCAAAATTATTAGCAGCTTTGAGAGACTTTTGGAAGCCAGAGCGCCGACCCTGTAATCCTGCCTGAAGATGGAAGATTACAGTGGAGCAATGATATGTCCATAAAAGGAACAATCAGACAAATGCCACTTCCAGTGCAAGGACACAGGCAGGAGCATAAGGAAATGGCAAAAAGGCAGAACTATTAGCAGCTTTGATTTAAACTGGTTTCAAGTGTCGTGAAACCACACTTTTTGCGTTAAAATTAGCGTGCTGACTCAAAGCATAATACAAACACACCGATACAATGGAACAACAATACAAATATGCAGGGATAAACAAAAATGTAATAGGCATTTTTAAAACAATTATATCAGATTACACAAGGGAAAGATTTTCCTTCATAATGGGATTCAAACTAACTCTAAACTTCGCCTTGAATCTCACTGTTTTAAGTTAATGCTAAAATCTCAAACATTACATTTCAAGAATCCTTGTCAAAGTTAAATACCGCGTGATCAGTAAACTCATATTAACAAATGGACTTGTGATGTATGACATTAAAATGGAGATAACATTTTCAATACACAAATATTTCTATTAAATAGGCTCCTGTGCAAATTAAGAAGTTTAGGAAAAGATGGAGAGACATAAGAAATTTAAAAAACATTTTAGAAGGAGTGTAAGACAGTTCAGGCACACAGATATTAATCGGGTAATAAAAGTAAAAAAAACCCGTACCCATAGTGAGCTGGCAAACTTCCAAATTAAGAAGCAAGAACAGCCATCATCAGCTAAACATGCTTTACAAATGCAAAAATGAGTAATTGCTTTGTTTAAGGGTTACTGAGACTAAAATGGCATAACTGCATTGCTGGAGTACGTACAGAAAGCTGTCTGAAACCAACTCTCCGTGGCCAGGTTACAAACATAGGCGTTTGCTTTTCAAAGTGCAGCACACGATCGCTTGTGTGCTTGCCATTTAGACTACTTTTCTATAGTATCAACTTAGATATTACCTCACCATTCTGAAAACTCATTTTTTCGAGCTGCACAGCAATAATCACAAAACCATTTTTCCCATTAGAGGAATCCTCTAGTCTCTTATCACACAAATCAGCACTGCTATCATTTGAAACTTCACAAGATCAAGCTCACCAAGCAGAATTACAAACCAGACGAATGCTAGATTTCCATCAGAAATCAGAATTAATGTTAAAAAATTAAGACAAATCAAATGTATTCTTAACAGTGAACAAACCTAAAGTCCAGTCAGATAAAATAAACAACAGGAAAATCTACCTCAAGAATCTTTCCCCTACCATACTGGTATTCCCAATTCTGACCAACTTTAACAGAAATATCAAAGTTATGGCAAAAGTACCCTTCAAAAACAGGATTTAAAATAGTATGTATGCTGAATAACCTTAAGTAGTCTTCAGATATCAGTTGAGAATTTGGAGGAAAAATTACCTCCACTTGCCATTTCGATGAAATTTGCTCTTCCTAGGATTTTTACTTCTGTTCGGCAATCGCTTACTAGATTAGTTATATCCATTTAAAATGTTTTCAAGTGCTTACATACACATTTTCCAAAATTTTGCTCCAACACAGTTCAGTTGATCTTAAAACCAGATTCTATTTTTCTTACTGAGAAAAAACTAAATTAAGTGCGCTTTATCTGCAATTTGTTCATTAGCACTTAATTAACACTTATTTATTCACACTTCTAAGGCATTTTCGCAACTATTTTTAATGTGTAGTTGCTCCCATGAAGGCAGAATTCCAGTGAGGCTAAAGCAGCTTGTGGCTGTAACAAATTGGCAGATTAAAATAACCTTAGGCTCCCAACAGAGACACTTCAAGTTACCAGACAAGGAAAACAGCACTGGCAAAAAAGATATCTGCCGACAAAGAAAAAGTTGCTAGTAGTAACTCCTGTCAAAATACCTGTTGTCGTTTTTGTATTTGACCTCATACACAAAATTACTGACAGTCCATTTAGAAAAACGCAAGGGGGAGTTTCTGAATGACCATTCAAAGGAAACAAACAAACAAAAAATCTCCCTAATGTTACATTTTAAAATGATTTTCCAAACAGATGTCCATTTGCCAGATTACTTAGCTCATATGTATCATACTTTCTGGTTTGAATATACAATGCATACTTGCATTAATTTTCACTTACCTGGATCAACTAAAGCTTTATTAAATATTTCTTTAAGTTTTCTACTCTTCACGTTTCTGCCTTGTGCAAGATTGCGATACATCTCGTAGCCTATTATCATCACACCTCCTTCATCTTGCCAACGCTGGAGCATATAGCTTCTCTCTTGAGGGCGTTTCACAGTTGCTAGTTCACAGACCTTTCAAAGGGGGAAGAACATGCTCGAAACTGCTCTTCAAAATACCAAAGCAGTGGTATAACATTTAAATTCCCAAAGCATATTAACGTAAGGATATTTTTCAAATAAAGTGCATTCCTTAACCTGGATTTGGAGTAGTGGACTTTGTCCCAAACACATACACCAATTATGTAAAAGTTATTTCACTTTCAAGAACTCTCTTTAAGCCTTATACCTCGAGCTTCTCATCATCTTCTAAACCTTCTTGCCATTTTTCAAACTCGTTCAACCAGTTCAGGGCAGTGTTCAGTGGACACACTACCAGAGCTGTCCGGAAATCCAGCTTGTCGCAGAGCAAGACCGTGTGAAGAAAACTTACTACCTGCAAGAAGAAAAAGAACCAAACAAAGCAACCCAAAATAAAACACTGAGTATTAAAATCCGGGAAAGAAACATACAAGCATCTATACGTTCACATAAGGAACTTAACCAACAGTCTTGTTCAAACATTCGTACTCTGTTCGTTAAACAACTCACTTTCTGCTTAAAATTCTATACACGTGTAATTCATTTAAAGATGAGCTTATTTCTGTCTGTTATATGGCTGCTCACCTCCTTCACATATTGAGACACACCTAATTTTGAATTGCTCCAGGGAGCTGAACAATTCCACAAATAATAAATCCTCCCTCTAAATTTCACCAACTATTTTCATAATTTAAAACATATCTACTAGGTCATTTTTGAGCATTCTCCCAATCCTCCCCATAACCCTTAAGTAAATCCACATCTTTAAACCTCATAAATGTATTAAGTTTCCTCAAAGTTAACTTCTTCCTTTTAAATCACTCGTTTCCCACATTTTTTTCAACTCCTTGGCAAATTTGGGCCTGGATTTATCAGGTTTTTCAGGATTCAAACCCAGGTAGTACTTTCTCAAAAGACCTCTGAACCAGGACATTGAAGCCCTTTCCAAATATTCACTTGTAGCCAGTCTGGGTGTACGCTGCGGACGACGTCACCTCCTTAAGGATGGAACTAACTCTTTTGATGCCGGTCAGAGACCTTCTGCTGGGGTGCCTGTTTTCAAAGAGTAGCGAACGAAGAAAGGGCTACAGGTAGCATGTAACATGCCATGAGCACAGAGTCAACGACCCTGGCAGCTCCAGCTCTCTCATACCACACTTTTAATGGTGCAGACCGCTCTCTAACCCACACAACGATGCAACATCCTGTAAGCTCTTTCTAGATCAAAACCTGCTATTTGACAACTCCAATTTAATATACCATCAGAGTATCAGAGTCATGTCAAACTGCATGACTATGTTATGAACACTAGACGCCAAAATGTTTTTAGATGCTGCAATACTGAAAGAAATACTAGTGGTTTTACTATTAAGAAGAAAGTATCTTATGTTCAGATGCAGGAAAAAACTACACAGAAGACTGATGACACAAGTCCTACGTCCTCAGGAGCCAGCAAGTCCCTAACTGCTTTATCTCCCTGATCCTTTACTGACATTCTTCTCCGTGATTTACAAAGTCTTCTAAAAACTTACTTGAGTCAGCTCTTGTAAGAGCTAAGCTACAAACGCCATTATAGAGTACAAGAGAAACACTGGCAAAGGGCCACATAAGGAAGCAAACAATCCACTTACCTAAGCGACAAACAGCGGTCATCAAAGCAATTAATACATATTTTAAACTGTGGCTTTTTTTGATTATCAAGAAGCTACAGCCAAAAAAGACAGTCAAATCTTATGAACACATGTGGATCTCACAGAAAAATATCTTCTGCTGTGAAATATTTCATCAAATTATTTACTGAAGTATGCAGTATATAAAGTAACACAGATTGCATTTCATTTCTACTGTTCTGCAATACCTTGCAAATTTCTAGCAAAAGGTATAATCTACCTCCTGAAGAATCGTGATGCCCAAGTCAGAATTAGCTATATAAAACAAACTTTTCAAAGGTGAATTTCGAAGCATGCATGAAAATCCATTTCTGTAGGATTGTGGACTGACAAAATCTTGTGGCCGTCATCTCAACTTCCATAAACAAAACAAAGTTACATACCAGCAGCTGGATTTATTAGAAACATACTGTCCATACCTTGTGCAACGCAAGCATTCAAGATTGAAGCTTGTTTTTCCTAAACAGTATATATACAGAATGACTGCAGTCCCCCTGCTCCTCTGGAGCTCCACATTACTCAAAAATAAAAATAAATAAATAAATAAATGAATGAATGAATAAATGATGCAATTCCCTTGATTCCCTTCAGTTGGTTTTTTACAGAAGTATCTCAAGAATCTGAAGATATTATTCCAACCTAAAGTGCTCCATGACAGCTCCTGTATCTTGCAATTCCCAGGTCAAGAAGGAAGATTCTCAAAGTCCTCTTAAGCAGGATCATCAAGTTTTAAACAAAATTTGTCTCAACTAGGTCAGAGGAGAGCAGGATCATGTGTTTGCTAAGGTACTTTACTTTTTGAAGAATCTTGGGTAGCAGTAGGATTAGACGGAAAATATAAGAACCAGGAAGGCATCTGGACCAGCAAGGCTTAGTTAATTCTAGCTAAGAATAAACGACTCCTACTGGAGTGTCTCTGAAGATTTTGCCTGGGAGTATACTTCAAATCTCTAAAAATAACACCGGAAGACATCAAGCCAAGCCAAGCCAAGCCAAGCCTGCTGTCTAGTAGCTTCCAGGTGTGCTGAATATGCCTAATGCCAACCAGCAAGGCAGATGTGAGCACTAGAGAAAGTAAACCCTACTGACAATTCTCATACCAAGCATACAAGTGTCAAAGACTAACTGATTGTCAACAGGGTCGTAAAGCATTTTGCTTGCTAAGTTACTAACAACACTCCAATGCTGGCTGTTGTCACTTTCAGACTATGAACCTCGCTATGGCACAAAAAGGTTGAGACATCTTTTATACAGCTCGGAATTCCAGTACGTCGATATACTGACCTCTCTACGAATGAACAGATCTTGAGCCTTCAGGTATTGTGATAGGGCTTCCCAATCCAATGGGGAAGCATTCACCACAACTGACCAAGATGGAAGAGGATGGTGAAATGGCATTTCCTCACAGACGCTTTGAGGATCCCATCCTCACTGTAGGAAGAAAATAACCTCTTTGAGAACCATCATCACCACGCTAAAGAGACTGCACTCCAGGGAGCGAGTAAAGTGCATCCGTATCTGGAGCATCTGAAGAAGAAATCTAGAATGAAGTGTTGCTGGCTGCTACGTGATCTAGAATTGCCAGCCACAGCCTCACTTGAAGCGTTAGGCAGAGCTCCTAGAAAGTGATTTCATAGCTAAGAATTGATCCTGTAGGAAGAAGGCCCTGACTGACAGGGCACTGAGTTGAAATCAACTCTAACGGATTCCAGTGTCTGCAGAAGCTGCAGATTAGATTTCTAGCGTTCACCTTGAGCTGGAGAATCAAAAAGGTTCACGTTAACTTGAAAATTCATTCCTTTCAGAGTCATTTCACCAGCCGGTTGGCCTGATAAAGATATAGGAATATCTCCCACCTCCAGACATGAGCAAACAGCATCAGAACTTCAATGAAGGCCTACGACAGGGAGACCAAAGCAGCCCTGCTTTTATCAGCAGCGACTGCGTCTAATAATGAATAGCAGATTTTTCTGGAAAGATACACTGACAGTCAGCTTCCTGCAGGTCAAGAGGCACGAAGCAGTTCCCTTTCTGAAGGCTCAGGATGACACCAGCTAAGGGCACTTATCTTTTCCACCTATCAATGTAAACATTCAGTCCTTTTCAGAATAGATGAGAGTGTTACCCTCCTTTCTTCAGTGACCTCAAAAAATTCCCTTCTTCTTTCTCAGAACCAAAGGGAAAGGTTCTTCTGTTAAAAGGAATCCCTGGGAAACAGATGAGGAAGTAGAGCAGCAAGACAGGCAACCCACCCCATTACCTTGTTCACAGCATTTGTAGTGATGCTAAATCTGGCTACATGCAAAAACAAAATTTATGATGAAAGACAGATAGATAGATACTTGGAAAAAAGCAAACAGAAAGGGAACTCACCGCTGCTAACTACCCTGAAAAGATACTAGCCTGAATACTGACATGCAGGGAATCCAGGAAACCTCTGGATTTTGATCTTTTATTTCTTTTGAAGTTCAAGGTGACCTGACAGGCCATAAGTGTCTCCTGAGGCCCAAGAGAAAGAGCTATGACTGTTGTTTTACACAACCCTTTGAGTGATCAGCTTCCAAAGAAATATTTCAAGATGGGGACTGAGCTTCAAGTTGTAAAGACTTTCAGACCGGGGAAGTTGTTCACTGTGCCATTTTTAACGTGGCAGAACAGGGGCTTGTATCAGACAAAGGTATGCAGAAATCTTTTTGATTAATGCTACAATATTCTGTTTTAAAGTTCTTTTAAGAAACGGTCTTCAGCAGCGTAAAAGAGAAGGAAGAGTTTACATGCACTGAAGCGGCAAAGGAGGCTTGAACCTGAAGATCTCGGGAAGCAAAGGACTGTAAAGCCAAAGGAAAGAAACAAAAAAGAGAAAAAATGGTTGAAGTGGTTGAAAGCCCTATGGTTACTGCCAAGGCAATAAAAATTTCTAGTCTTAACTGCTCGCAATGCACGACGACCCCAAAATATGAATGTACAGATGGACAAACACTGACAAATAAAACAGGCCCCCCCCCCCAAACCCAGAACGGACTAAATTGTACAAAAATGTTGTTTATCTTAAAACATAACCCCTGTGACTTTAGACACTAAAAGCCTGTCATAAAAAATGCGCGAAAAACCTCTACTCTAGCGGTGCAGCAAATAAATCCAAAAACCACTGAGGAAAAAGAACAATTTAAAGAATAACACAGGAATGAGGAACACAGTAAAAAGCACAACTTGCTCAAGATTATTAAACTAGCTTAGAAACAGAGTTCTTAAAGCTTATCTCCTACTAGCTATATTCTGTTATTCTGGGTTGCAAGGGAGCTACACGTTACTTACAATTAAATATGAACTTTTCAGTGAATATCAATTATTAGTCGATTTAATTTTAGATATTTCTAAAGCAGAGGATGCACAAGTACATAACAAAACCTCACAACTACACAAACATAGCTTCTTTCAGAAAACTTTTTACAAAGCTTTTCTTCAACAATCCCCAGCAAGTCACTGCCTAGGAAATAGTAAGTTTTTACTATGTTCTGAAAGTCATTAAAATAGCCTTTTGCTGGATCAGCTTGTGAGAGCAAGCTACAGACTAGAAAACAAGGAGACTTTTGTTCCTTACCTGCAATGTTTTCCCCAGACCCATACAGTGAGCAAGAATGCATCCAGAACCAGGAGATGTCTTTGTTTTTTTTACAGATTCACAACAGCAGTCCCACATGAACTGAACACCTGAAGAAAATTTTTGAAAATTTTCTTACTAAACAGTCATTTTATTAAATTTCAGCTGATAAGAGATAGGTGAAATCACTGTAAGATCATGGTAAACCTTCCAAAAGCACTGCTCAGGGTAATTATTGGTGCATTTCTGTCAAAGGGGTAGTATGTGAGATGATCTTTGTCTTGAGCTTAGTCATATGCAAAGTTTTCATTGCAGATGTGGGAACTGGATTAGAAAATACGACTGTGCAGGTAGTAGATGACTGCAAACATGGGGACAGGGAGAAAAGAGGAGACGGCAGGGAAGGGGCAAGGACTTAATGCAAAGACAAATAATCTTGACAAATTAGTGAAATGCTATGAAATCAATCAGAAGAAATTCTGTAAAGGTAGATGTAGAGTACTATGCTTAAGGAGGCAAAATCAAGTAAGAACCCTGACAGCAGCATTGCTGGAAAAGGAGAGGAAATATATAATACATAATAAAATGTCTTAACAACACGAGGGGCTGCTGGGTGATTTTTTATTCTTTGCAATATATTTATAAGAGAGTTGTATTCCACTCTGCTATACTCAGCACCGATGAGGCTTCAATTTGACTGCTGTGTCTGGTTCAGGGCACTTCCCTTTAAGAGCTGGAGCAAGTCCAGAAGATTATTACTAGAAGGGAAAGGTGTAGATTATGATCTTGGAGGAAAATTTAAAAGAATAAGCTATGGAGAAACTTATGATTAGCTATCATCCTTTTCTTCTTCTTCACTAGAAATAGAAAACGACAACAAGTTGGCTTGACTTGCAGTGCAGTCATGTCAGGTATTAGGAAAAATATTCCGGACCAAAAAGTCAAGAAAGCATTGGAAGATTGTGAAATCTTCACTGAAAACTATAAAAAAAAAAAATTAGGTAAATTTTTCTCCAGTATGGTAAACATATATTTGATTCTGCCTCTGTGCAGAAAATTAGACGATTCTGAGGCCCCTTTCAACTTTACCTACTTAAGATTCTTTGTCTGTAAAACAGACTCATGTTTTGCTGATGTCGTTTATTTTTGTTCAGACCTTCCAAAAATGATACATTAAATCCTGTGTTTTGGCATTTGCCTGCCAAGGAGGTTCACTTAGAATTCCAATTCGGCTTGTATAACCCACAGGGCCAGGGTTAAAAAAAGGATTAAAAAACCTCTATTTTTTTCTTTCTTACCATCTACTTGGTGTGGTTTCAGTTTGGTAACTATGTTCCTGTGAACCTGCACTAACGGTTCTTTGGTTTCTTCATCTTCATCTAAAACCAGCTTAGTTGTAATTGGACATTTCAGAGGTGAAGCATCTTCTATCTCTATCACCTAGAAGCAGAAACAGTGCATGACGGTAATACTTCACACGCTGACTAAACATTTTGCAAACACAAAGGGTTAGCAAAATTCTAAGTCATCTAATTAACTGAAACCTACTTCAGGAGACCTTTTCCCCCATGAAAGGTAAAACAGTAGACAACTAAAACAAGAAACAACTTATCTTAAGTCCTCAGGAGTCTTAAATAAAACTTACAGATCTTAACCTGCAACAAATTACAAATCAAACTTGTGGCTTACATGGCTACAGTTAAGCAGCTTCAAAGGTACTTACCAAATTAAACTGAGATGTCTTAAACATCATCATCAATTCAACTTCCTAGCATCGTTTTGCAAAGAAAATGGAACATACCTCTCTCAATTTCTCTCTCTCTCGTTCTCTTTCTGCAATACGTTTTCTTCTTTCTTCTTCCTCTTTAAGTGCATTTTGTGTTTCTGTTCTTAGTTTATCATCTTTAATAATCTTCCTTATTTTCTTCCTGCCTTTTCCAGGAGATTTTGAATCATCGTTGTCCTCATCCTCAGAATTACTCTATTACAAATTAAATAAACCAGCCATTAACAAGAAAATTATGACACAGACCACCAAAATCTTGATTTTTAGAGAAAATTTGCATATACAGGTATACCATATTTATGCACAAAAAATTTTATACACATCTAATTTAGCTCGCAGAAAAAAGATGCTTTTTTTTAAACAAGTTAGTCAGTATGATAACAGAGGTACCACCTTAATTACACTGTATTCTGAGATACTAAGGATAACTTCACCTGCACAAAGCAGTACTAAAGGTACTGTTATCATACAATACTAACTAATGACTTATACTGAATATTAATATATTAAATATTATCATATAAAATATACATTAAATAAAAAACTTTGTCTGATCTAGTGGCGCATTTATTCAACTATAACTTGCTTGATCCTTTGGACAGAGCTGTTCCAGATGCCCAAGTCCCTAACCAGTTGGCATAAGAAACAGGAACTCCTTTTCCCATTTAGTTAACTTAAAGCACAATATAGTACCTTGTTGTTATTTTCACTTGAAGAATCCTCTTGAACCTTTATACGCCTTCGTTTCTTTTTCTGTTTGTAACTGCGCTGGTTTTCTTCTGCCTCAGCTTTCTTGGCAGATCTATGTTAAAAAAAGGCAGTCCCATGGTAAACAAAGATAATTCTTTGCTTGACTGATGGACAATGATAAAAAATTACACGAAATACATTGCTAACCAACAGAAAAACTACTCCTTTCATGCAAGCAACCGTGTACTTTCTAATTCTCTCCTCCCCCTGACCTCACAGGACACACACACAGCAACAATCTACTCCAGACAACCCCAAAGAATCTCAAAAATTTAAAGTATTATCTTTTTATTGGAATCCACCATTCCTTGATTGGCATAATTGGCAAAAAAAAGGGTCATTTTTCGCTAATCTGTTTTCCCTATTGGCTCACCAAACAGCCACGTACCACAAACTCTGGTATAAATACGAAATTCTTTCAGTTGCTGCAAAGTTAATTAGCAGACATGAAAATTTAATGTAAGAAGTATCAAAGGATTTAAAGACTGATTCTAGGTCTCTTAAGTCAGTAAAGATACATTAATTTTACCTTTTCACTGCCTAAATCATACCATTAAAACAAAAACCAAACACAAAACACAAGCATAGTTATGTTTTATTTATACCTTGTTCTCGGACGTTGGTCATCTTCAGATTCACTCACTTCTTCACTAACTGCAGATTCATGAAACTCTGAGTCATTTGAATCATCACTGCTCACTTCAAAAATAAAAGATGATTTCATATTGAATATTACGGTAAAGGAAGCAACATTATTTTCTAAGTATACGACATATTCCTTAAGATCAAAAATGACTGCAGCAGTTCATTTCAAGAAGTATGGGAACGACTAAATATATCAAGCAGAAGCGACAGCAATATAAGGAGTCCAGAGCAGAAAAGGTAACATGCAAGCACTAGCTGAGTCCTTACAAATGGCATGTTAGGCTCAAAAGACTTAAGATCTTTCTATATATGTATACATCTAAGTACAATTCAAAAGCAAATGATGGAAAGCATTCTATGAGAAAGCTTCACGTTTCAAAGACTGCGTGTGAGGGAGAACACAACGAGGAACAGCACAGAACTCTGCAGAAAGCATAAGATGATTTTTACTTAAACAGAAGCTTTTGTTGCAAATGTTATTTTTATAATCACTCTTCACGGTTCACGAAAACAACGCTAATTTACTAACAACACGTGCAGTTAAACTACTGCATTCGTGGCTTGAAATTGCTTCAGGTAGTGCAAATTTAAAATTGACTGAAAGGACAATTAAAAATACACTCAAACAGCAGCATTAGCAATATTTTCATAACTACTTTTAGGAGTCATCACTGGCATTTATAGGTAATTAGAAACAGCATGCTATTTAGCACTTTTATAATTTCAGTTTGACTTTGAACACGCTGGAAAGCTGAATTGTTTTATGAGTTGCAGACTTCAAACACGGATTGTTTTACATACTCGGCGAGAATGTTAATAACGTTAATATGTTAATAAACGTTAATAAAACACTGAGCTGAAAAAAAAAAACCCATTGTATCGCTCTACTTGGGAGCAACGTCATTGACAAGACTTATTGCTAAAGCATCCTGAGAATTAGTCCGGCCACACCTTATTTGCACACTGCCACCGTATTCAGAACTAATTTTTCAAAAGAAACATTATTGGTAGAGTTAAAACTCCATAAGGGAAGAACAGCATGAATACGAATCTTCAGACAAAAAGGAGGATTTTCACGGGGAAATACATTAAACAAACTACACTGCATCTTTTGGCCTACGAACGCTGCTAACGAGCACGACACGGCGAGCATTGCTGCAATGCTAAAAAGAGACAAGTACACCTTCACCGCACGCTGTGCGGCATACACCCTCCCTTCCACCGCCACTGAAACGCTGTCAAGACGTCTACGCTGACCAAGGCGGCGGCCAGCATTCGCCTGCACTACCGCTCCCCTCCTCTGCCCCGGGTGGGAAAAGCCTAGGGCAGGCATCCTTTGCTCTGGCAGGTGACAACGCGAACGAGAAAAGGCAAGCATCGCTTCGCAGTGCCATCTGGCGTTCAGCTAAAGCTCGCGGCACTTAAATTCTACGGTGGAGGAATTTTCTGGTGGCGCAACAGCCTATTAACAGTCCGAGGAAAAGAGAAACCGCATTAAGGGAAGGGGGAAATTGGTTTTCATAAATTAGTCATACCGGGTTTAGCTCGGTTATTCAAGGCTAGTAGTCAAAACTTAACAAGATTAACCCAATTCAGAGGCTACACTAAGCGGAGAGAGCTGTTACCAGTTGCAGTCATCGTTCACATCTTAAACAGAAGTAGTTCTCAAACACAGATAAGGGAATTTTAGATTTAGTACGTGAGGAAGTTTATATAGATATTTTAAAATTACAGAGTTTACTATCGATCTCCATTCTGGCATGCTTTGGACCTGTTTTATAGAAACAAATATTTTCTGTGACACAAACGTTTAGATCATGTACCTTTCCTTCTATTTCTGCGTTTCCCCTCTTTTGTGTCTTTGGGTTTCCCCTTTTTCTCTTCGCCAGACTCCCCGTCACTCACAGTTAGCTTGTGCCTCAGCAGCCTGTGTCTGTATCTAGGCTTCTTTGACTCTTCTTCATCTGAATCTGATTCAGAGTTATCTTCCTTCTCATTCTCTTCTGTCAGAGATAAGAGTCAGCGCAACATGCACACTGGTAATTATTTTCTTATTTAAATTTAATAAGAATTAAATTCAGATTTAATTTTGGCTACTTTTTGTGCTTTTTCAGGAAATTATGGACAATAACATACAGTTTTACCTTCCAAGTGTAAGCATTTTACACTGTCTGATCATCTGGATTGTGCGTAGCAACAACGGTGCCTGTTAGTCATATTGTTCCTGAGCTTTTTGCAAGTCCTACCGCTCTTTACACACTATTCTTCACACATCCCTAGGACTTTTGGATTGGTTACAAAATCTGACCATTAACAACAGCAGCAGCAAAAACACACTTGCAGAGGAGTTAGCAATAATAACCCTTATGATCATACACACTGACCTCTATTGGGCAACCAGCTATCAACATCAGCTAGTTTATTTTTTTGTTGAAACTGAAGAAACTTTACTAAGTACAATTTTCACTATGTGATATTTGAAATTATGACAGACACTATAGCACCACTTTTTTCCAGCTGCTTTTTGGTGCTCACCATCATCTCCTGGGTTTTCATTTTGCTTTCCAGTTTTCTTTTTTCCTTCATCTGACTCTTCATCTGAAGACGCATCCTCATCAGAGGAAAGATTGGCTTTGATTTCTTCTAAAAGCATTTTCTTGGCAATTCTTTGAAGCAAAACAGAAAAAACTATGTATTCCATTGTTCAAGCACATCTATGAACAATAAATGTAATACCATTCAGAACTTCAAAAACAGTGTTGAAAGCTGAACAAAAAAACACGATGAAAAAATCATGGTGATAAGACAGGATATTTCAGCAAAATCTCATGTCGAATGTAACATGTTAACCTGCTTTTAGAAAGCTGATCTTTATAATGCTTCTTAAAAAAGCAGTTTCAGACATTACAAGACTGGAAATAGCTATAAACTGTACAGCTTTAAACATTTCAACAAAGTAAACCCATTTTTTTCCTCTGCTACTTGTTCAATTCTTCCCCACTCATCTCTCCTCATGAGTTCAGGCATAGGTGTCTACTTGAATTCTAATGGTAACAAGAACGTGAAGATGCTGCAGACCAAATCCTAATACTCAAACCATCCAAGAAAAAATGTTACCAAGCTTAATTGATTTTAATCAATGGGATTCAGGTGCCCTAATTTCCTGAGGCATTGAATCTACATGATTTTAAACAGCAGTAGTTTTTAAAACAGATTATCACTGAATGCATTTGTTCTAAGCATAGAGAAGAAGATTACTGTAAGATCCATTAATTCACACAATTCAGACTCTGTGAACTAAAAGGAAAAAAAAATGAGTATTACCCTACATCTACATAGTGGGCCCACTCTACTGCAAAAGAGATGCTGTAGGAATTGATGCAACTCATGATGACTCAAGAAGAACTGCTAATAAGTGCCTGGGGAAAAAAAAACACACCGAATCCCTCAAATATCTGCAAGCACTCGCCTTATGGCAATGATAGCAAAATACACACGCACACACACACACACATATATATGTATACGTACGCGCGCACACACACGCGCGCGTGCACACACACACACGTTTAAAAAAAAAAAAAATCTATTGAACATTATGGGACCCGAACTTTATAGAAAAATTACATTCTTACTTCCCGTCCCGCAAACTGTTTGCTCAGCTTCCCAGTTTCATCTCAGTACAAGAATGTTTTCAGCTAACATACAAAAACTTACTATGGAAAAATGATTTCTTTACATGCTCTTGCAACACAAAAAAAAGAAAAAAAATCTAACATGAAAATACATCCAAGGGAAAGTATGAAATGATGTGTCAAATGCACAGGAAAATAGCGGACTTATCTGAGAACTCTTTTCCCCTTCTTCCAGGGGAAAAAATCCTGAAAGAATGAAACCAGGCCTTCCTCATATAAATATTAGAAATATTATACTTTTCATTCCATAGTCTTCAATATTAAATGAAAAACTTCTTTCTTTCCTAGGTCAGATCTGGTCTGTCCTGCTTTCCAGGAGAATTAGCGCATATTGTATGTATATAGTTCAGAATGGGAAGTCAAAACAGTAGTTCAGGACCCATGAAACTGAACCACGACCTAGGCTTCACTTGGAGTACGCGTAGGAACAATTATCTTTTAAGTACGGCTTCTTACGCACTAGAAAATTAAAGTATCCATAAAACAAAAGAACTTTGCAAAGGGAACTTTCCCAAGACATTTTTTAATTACACTTCATACTGTATTTTCTATCTTTTAATACATTTTGACATCTCCCACCAAGATTTCACAGCTAATGTGTGTTCAGTTATTATTAAAAGACGGAAGTAAAATGGGTTAGTCAACAGCACGGAGCCTTTTTAGATTGCTCAATGAATCACAAACTGTCAGCATCCAAAACAAACTTCTTTTTTTTCTGAAAAATGACTTTCTAAAGAAACACCGTCCTGATTCAAATGCAATACTTTTGGTGAGCTTTTAATTCCACATATATCAACAGATCACACTGTAAACCCAATGAAAACTTAAAGTCCATAGATCAAGTAACATCCTCTTCTGTCAGTTTTTGCATTAGCCCTTTCAGAGGATTTAGGAAAGGGACTCATATAAGGTATTAAAAAAAAAAAAAAGTACAATGGCAACAGGAGCAAAGGGCTCCTTCTATTAGAAGTGAAGACTGCATTGCATTGCTTCCATCTGTTTATGCTCTGAAGAACATTTTATTCAGAATAAAACTGCTTGGAAGGTCACAAGTTGGTTTCTTTTAAAAAGCTTTGAATATGAACTATCAACCTTGAGTCCTACTCCATGAAATGCAGACAGAAGCAGTTTGGCCACTTTTCATATTTTAAAAACAACATCATCATGATCAAACTTGCTTTGGACAGTGAAGTAGCAGTGCTAAGAAGATTTGCAAAAATTTAAAATTTAATCCTGAAAGTACTGTCTAGTAATACTGCACGTTACTTCATATCACCCCCGGTAATACTAGTAAAGTCAACAAAACCTGAATTTGGATAATGATACTCACCTTTAGCACAAGTCATCTTAAAAAAAAAGCTTTTTTTAAAACAAAAGCGGACTTTGGTTTAACAAGAGAAAGCAAGGATTTGTATTTGTTCTTTACTTTCTTATAAAATATGTTTAACAAAAAAAATCTAATAATGAAGGTATTATTTACTTCAAAAAAACATCCATGCACAAAATCTATTATTCATAGCCAAAATACGCTGCTATTTCCCTATTAATAGCCATTGTCCTTCATACCAACAATCATCTCAACCTCCTCACTTGGTAAACTCATTAGTTTCTAATTAATTATTTATAATGATGTTGATAAGTGATTGCTTCTATCCTTTGTGAAATAGAAAAAAAAAACCCTTTTTAGCTAGGATGAAGATTTAACCACTTTGAATCAAAAGGAGATGGAACTACTTATTTAGTGGAAACAGCTACGTTGTCTTCAGTGTGTTCTACTGCAATAAAGTTCGACTAAAAATGCAAGACGCTGTTCAGATATGTCCAGAATTTAAAAGATTTCTGCTTTTAATGTAACGGCATAACTGAACAGAATCAAAAGCGTAAATAATATTAGAACTAAACACCTTACACCTTGTAAACGCATCTGACAAATGACGAATGCAACAAACAGCTTATATAAATTAGAATAAATTGAGTACTGTGCTCCTGAAATTGGTTATAAGTTAAAATTACATGTGGTTCAAAATAGAATAGCATATTCCTATTTTAAGATGTAAATCCATTTAAAGTGAACAGGTTCCTAAACTAAGAAACTTCATACTGTTGCTTTAACGTTTTAGAATATTTATTTTAACATCAAACTGCAAGTACCAAGAAGAATAAGTCATGGTAGTGTGAAAACTCCCCCCTCCCATTTTCCCAAAGAAACCCATGAAAGTTAAAGACATTGTAATATTTACTGGGGTCAAGGACATAAAGTGTATTCTTTACACATTTAACAACTGAATACTATTAAAAACCTTTAAATACAAAACACAGAAAGCTGTATTATCTTCTGCATGGGACTTCAGGCAGTAAAGAACCCTGCATTTCATTCTCATTTCTGCCACTGACTGACTTTGACCTTGAGCAATTCATACTGCCTACTCCCACCCCATCTTATCTAAACAGATAGCAAGCTTTATAAGAAGGACATTTTTCCAATATGTATTCATACAGTGCCTTGCAGAACGGGGCCACAATCTCTACCAGGGCATATAAAAACAACTCCAGAATAAAACAATAGTATACACGTATAATTTTATATAAATTAGGATTTAAATATGCTTCACCTTTGTAAGAATGACATTGAAAACATACATTTTAAAATGATTTGGTTACAACATATTCTCTAACTTATGCTAAAGGAAAACAATTTAAAAAAAAGGGGGTAGGCAAGCTGGAAGTTACCTAAGGGTTGCTTAGTCACAGTATAGGACTATGTTAAATTATCCTTCAGACATTTCAGTAAAAATGGAATAGTAGGTGCAGCCTCTCATGATGTGGAGTTAAGTCCAAACAATAATTTGCACCATTCCTGTTCATGAATTTTAGAGAGCCAATGTGATGGACTCATTTATAGCTTGTCAAAAATCTTGATGAGACAATGCTGGCACTGTAAAACAATTTTCCTCTTTAAAAATAGTCATAATTTAAGATACTCATTACCACAATATATTACCAATTAGATATCAACTCACACGTAGTGTTCATAAATACCTACTAACTATAGGTAAAAATAAAGTTGCCCAAAACAAGCCTTTAAGGGGGGGAAAGGGGGGGGAAAAAGACATCTGTATGTGACTAACAAAAGGCACCATTTTTTCAGCTAGAACACTACTGAATTAAATGGGCCTTTGATATATTTTTTAAAATTTAGATCCATTTAAAATATATTTTAAGAGATGAATGTTTGAATGAAATGTCATACATGTTACAAAAATAATTAGTCAAAACTGCCAAACACCTTGTTCTAAATACTGTACTGTCTTTGTCGAAACAGTCTGATTTTCAAGCTGTCAGAGTTGTATTAAATTAAATGCTTGGACAAGAAAAATGTTTTACAAAAATTTATTGCATCCATCAAATACTTAAAGGCATTCCGCATTAAATACACTATGTACTTCTTAATGAACAAAACTGCTGCAAACATTAAACAGTACCATTTAAAAGATCAGAAGGACCAATAATAGATAATTACACAACATAAGATGAAAGCATACAGCACTGTCTGTCATATTATGACCCACTTGGATATTGCATTTTGGCAAAGATGATTTCAAGACTACTAATATTCATGTCATGCACATCCAAAGGAATGCAAATAACAGAACATCTAAACTAGAGACTTGCAAACATGAGAGTTCCCACACTACAAATACCCAGCAGGTACTACGTACCTTCTTTGGCCTGGAAGAAAATAGGCAACTTATCTGAAGAGTAGGTAAACTATTTAAACACTTTGTGTTGAGTAAACAGAAAACAAGCTTTTAACTTCTCAAAATTTGTTCCATCTTTTTACACTTTATATCTCTGATTTTGGTGCCAAGTACAACGCATGCTGAATGTGAAATCAGACTGCAGTTACCAGTTAACATGTCTGAAGGTTGACAAATCTACTCATTGACAAACACCTCCCCAACTCAGAAATATATATTCAAAATATTCGCTAAATAAAAACGTCAACAAAGATTCAGCTTAAAAACAAATTACAGAAACTGATTTTTAGAACATAATTTAGTATTACTGATTTGATCGTTACCAATTGGGTTAACTCATTTCCCAATATAGCTCTTAAAACTAAATAATGAAGACCTGTCAGTTCCCATTTGTACTGTAAATATTGAATTTGACAAAACTATTGGCTAAGTTATCAACCATAAACACTTTAAAAAAAAGAATAAAAAAAGAAAAAAAGAAAAAAAAATCAAAACAGGACTAAAATTAAAGCATCTTTTTAAAAATCTTGTATTACCAATGTTTACACGTTCTGCTTATGACCCTGTGCTGTAAGTCCCTAAAGAGCATCTTTCTTTAAAAGCTGAATTACTTCATTAAATTTTATGACTGAAAACAGGCAAGAACTATATCATCAGCAACATTTTGATGCCAAACTGAGGCCCGTAAAGGATATAAAGTAGCGTTTTTAAAATTTACTTCAGTCACATATCAAAACATACAACTCTGTGAAACAAAGAGACCATATTCTAAACTAGTAAGGCTCAGAAGCAGAAAAAGACTCCATCAGCAATTGTGCAAAGCTATGAAGCTGGTCCCATATATGCTATATGGCAAAAAAATCAGTTTCTGAAATACTGTATAAAATTTTGTTGAACAACTGTTCAGTCTAACTACAATAACTTCCAAAAAGAAACTCCAGCTCGTAACTGAGCAATACTTTATTTATGTTGTGCATTCACTAGTTAGGAAAAGAAGCTTTTACATTTTCTAGCCAGGCTAATTTCAATGACTACAATGGTATTGATTAAATTATGACATGTCTTAAAGAACTAACTATATCTTACATAAATTCATTTTTATTGAACTTGAAACCCAAGCAATACATTTAGGCCACAATTCTGAAAATAACTATGCAAAGACTTAAAATTTAATGTATAATTAGTCTCCTTGATACCAGCTGAGCCTATGCACAGTGCTTGTAGAATCACAGCCTTAACTGTCACAGAAGTGACTTCAGGTACTCATTAATGGATTAAAACTCAGTTTAACTAACAGTTGGAAATGTCTACAATACTGTTTTCTCCACGTTTGTGTTTTCTCTTTATTGAGAAAAGGTGTTTCAATTAAAAAAAAGCAAATTATGTAACAATATTAACCAAGTTCAATCCATAAAGATTTTAGCACTGCATATTGCACAGATGCAAATTTTTACCTTCTACTCATGTAACTAGTCGAAATTCACATTTATCAAAAGTAGGTTTTTACCTGACTGAGCGAAAAAACTTGTCACAAAACCCACATGTTCAATGGGAACATAAAATGGACAGTGCTGCAGTGCATTTATAACACACCCTACGCAAGGTGTGTTAGTTAACACTTCTAAATACTTTCTTTGCATTTCTGGATTTTGGCCTCTGTTTTCTGGCCCCATGTTCAAACTTGCGGGAAGCCTGTGAGCGAGTCTTTACAAGGCAGGCAGTCCTGGATTTTACAACCTGCTTGCTCTTCCGCTGCGCCGGTTTGCGCCCACGCCTAGGGTGTGTTATAATCTTTTTTAAGTCCTTACGGATGGAATCATACCTATTCTCAGGATCGTCATCATCATCATCTTCCTCCTCCTCCATTGGAACAGCCCTTGACTTAGTCTCTCCTTCATCTCCTGGAGGAGGAAGGAGACAAACAAAAACAAAAACAAAAACGAACACTTGGTACGTGTAAACCCAGCAATAAGCATACAAGGCATATGAACTATTGCCTCCATCAGGAATCCCCACGTAAAAATAGCTTAGTCACACCTCTGGTTTTTCATTAATAAACTAAAAAGGCAATCAGTACCTTAACGGATAGAAATAAATGTTCCTCATTAATAAAAATACATAATTTTTCAAGCAGCAGTTTTATCCACGTTATTCTTGCTACTATACACAACTCGCATTTTCCTTCCTCTTATATACAAGGAAATTCATTTTTCACACTGAAACAGACAAAGACTGCATACTCCGCTCAGGGAGATTCCTTTCTCAACTGTAAGAAGTTAGCAGCCGTTTCATTACTCCTTTCAGAAGTTCTGCCACTGAATTTGTGTAAGTTGAAGAGAAGGCCCAAGCAAATATAACGCAGTATCACTTACCAAACTTCTGAGCTGCCCTGCTTCCATTAAGAAGTACTCCAGAACAACACACTTCTTCTCTTTGCTTATTTTTGTTTTCAGAGTATCAAGCGCAACGTATGCATATTTGCTGCGTGTGTATGAAGAGTTACATTTTGAAAACTACGCATGCTATCCTCAGAGCAAATATCCAAATTTGGATATGAGGATGCTGCCTCATATAGAAAACACACCAAAACCAACAGCACGGGGCACAGAACGCAGCGCACGATACAGCAAGGATAGCCCCATGGGACACCTGCCTTCAAATCCTCTGCGCTCCCCTGGCTGAGCTGCAGGGAATCCAGATAGCACCTTATTTCTAGCGCACTCCCCGGCTTTCCCCCTTCTTTCTGCTTTTCACTGAACCAAACGCAAACAAGTCAAAAAAAAGAAAGACACCTCAAAATCCTGACGAACCGAGGTGTCCTCTCATTCATGATTTCTACTGCTTATTTTCTACGTGCGGAGAGTGGACCAAGATTAGGCTGCAGCAGGTTTGCTCCGAGTTGTTTTAACATATACTTGTCCCGGAATTAACACTAACTAGATGCCTGACAGTACTGTGTAAGAGGCGATGACTGAAAGTCCCTCACTCTTAAGCTCAGATAAATAAAGTATTCTGTGGGTTAAAACAGATTCTACGTCAATCCTCTACCTACAAAGCCTGTTCCAACACAGAAAAGATTCCTTATTTATCTATTAAAACACAGGTAAACCGAAGACAAAGGGAAAATTTGCGCCCTCTTAAAAGAACATAATACAGTTTATTCTCATAAAATCATAGTCCAAACCTCTGCTCCAAGCAGAGCTAACCTAGTAGATCAGATTTCTTGAGGCCTTCTCCAGTCCAGTTTTGATTATCTCCAAGGACAGAGATTCCAAAACTCGACAGGCAACCTGTTTCAGGCATTCACCACCCTCACTGTAAAAATCTTTTCCTAGTACCCAACCTGAATTTTCTTTGCCATAACTAGTGTCCATGGCCTCTCAACCCTTCGCAGTGCACCTTAAAGCGCCCGGCTCTGTCTTCTCTAAAACCACTCACTCACTAGGTAGCTGGAAGGCAGCAATTAAGAGTCCCCATCTTTAGTCTTCTCTCCCCAGGCCGATCGCACGCAGTTCTCTCTCAGTCTAACTCTACTGTCAGTCAGCCCAACTCCATCAGCTCATTTCTCCCATTTGTACACTGTTCCCCATCCTCCCATCCAGTAATTACAGTGCGACTTGCAAACAAAACTTAATTGCCAGCAATGCCTCAGACAACGTCTGTTACATCCCCACCAGCTTGGGCCCCCGGGCCATACTGAAACAGACCTAGCCTATGGACAGACACCGTACAGGAGAATTTCCTAGTTTTTAAATATTTTTGACGATGCAGTGAGGCTCAAAACTGCTGCAGATAGGTTACTGCCACTAAGTATGATAACTGTCTATCTATCGGGCATGTTTTAACATACATGGCATTTACCATATGCAAGATGTCAGTTTAATCATTACTATGCAAAGAGTTGATTATTTGCCATCTCCCTCAGCAGTGGCATCTTTGGGGAAACATGCTTCTGGTGGCTTACCGGTCAAGCAAAAGTCCTAAAAATACTAACATGACATGCATAAAATTAAAAATTTGATTTTTTTAAAATTACTGTTCTCATTAAATAATGTAATTTTGCACATAAAAGTGATACTTCAAGTGTGCGCTTACAAGTGGTTTTTGGGAAAGCTAAAGCGCACCTTATGTGCCTTCTGCTATCTCCATAAACATAATGCTGTTTTGTTTTTCTGTTTAGTTGCAGCATGACAAACTAGGGGGGGCATCAGAGCGAACAATTAAAATCAAGTACAGAAAGTGCTGTGAAACATCAACAGAAAAAAACAAGTGGGAAGTAATTTCCCTCTCACAGTCATCAAAACAGCAAATAGACTTCATTTTTTCTTAGTTGAAAATCAGTTTCTTAAAAGTATCCATAGCGCACATGTAATGTGAAAACTGCCCTTCCTCTTCAAGCCCTCTAAAACCGAGCTTTCTAATCAAGTTGTTTTGTTGTTGTTTTCTCCTAGAAATATAATACATCAAACATTGATGAAGCAGTACTTCTATCTTGGCAAGAGTAATTACTGTTCATGATACCTCCTAAGAAAACGTTAAGCGATGACAAACTTTGGTTAGCTGATACCAGCTGTTCTATTGGGGTCTCGAGACACAAAGATGATCTACTTGATTTTTAAAATGTATACACACAGCGCAGTAGCTAAGCGTCAGCAACCACACCGTAACGCTTCAAAGTCATCCTTGCAGCCTGAACGTGACCCGAGAAACATGGTTGGAGTTGACGAGACACCCTGCTATTTAAAACCAGCTTCTGCTAAATATTAACTGGGTAGTCAAAAAGAATAATAAGCTTTGCAAAGCCACGGTGCAAAGTTACACTGGCTGGAATTGCAGGCTACGACTACAATTCTCTCCATTTACACCACCACCCTTTTTTCTAGAAATCATAACATGCAAATTAAGTTGAAACGCGTGCTTCCAAATCATTATCATCAGACAAACTACCCGGCTGCAAATTTTTTAATGTATATTTACCACCTTACGGATATTTTCACTTCTAGACTATCAAATGTTATCCAAATCCTACAAGTTTCCTCTACTAATACGTTAAGTGTAGATGAAAATCTTTTGCACACCTGACGACTGACAAAATCCTGCACCAGCAGACAGCACTAAGTTTTCAGTCACTGGCATAATTTTCTGCTCATCACTGCTTCCATCACCTGTTGAATTCTGATCATCGTTTTCTTCCTTATCAGATGAGGAAGAGGAAGTGACAACAACTTTCTGCTTTTTTGACACTTTCTTTTTCTCTTTTAAGTTACCCTTTTTACTTTCTTTCGCTGCCCCTCTTTTAGTCTTTTTTTTATTGTCTTCATAAGACTCCTCATCAGAAGAGGACAACGAATCATTCTGTTCTTTCTTGGAAATTTTCTTTTTGTGACTTATTCTTTTCTTTTCTTTAGCATCAGTTCGTTTCTTATTCTGCACAGCATCTTCAGAAGAACTCTCCTCTTTCAGGGGAGATTTCTCAGCATCAGAGGACAAATCAATATGCATTCTTTTAGATATTCTCTCTCTCAAATTCCTCCTTTTCTTTTCTTTAACTATGGTTTCATTTTTAGTTTTATCATTTTCAGAAGAATTGCAACTTCCTTTCTCTGGGGATGACTTCTCAACATCAGAAGAGGAATCGTCATGTTCTTTCTTGTAACTTTTCAAGTTTTCAGATTTCTTCTCTTTGCTTTCAGCTTTTTTATTCCTCAGCTTGTCTTTTGAAGAATGAACACTGTGTTCTTTCTTTGCAGATTTCTCAGTACTCTCTGAAGAAGAATCTTCCTGTGCCTTCTTCTTTTTCAAATCCTTGTTTTTCTTAGCTGCACCTTTAGGAGGACAACTCTCCTCTTTCTCCAGTAAAGACTTCTCAACATCAGAAGACTCATCCTGCTTTCCCTTTACATTTTTTTCTTTTAAGTCTCTGTTTATCCTTTCCTTAACAGCTGACCCCTTACTAATCTTTTTATCGTCAGAAGAATGATTAACCTCCTCCTTCTCCAGAGATGACTTTTCAGCATCATCATCTTCAGAAGATTTACCTCTTTGTTTCTTTAAATTCCTCTTTCTTTTACTAATTACTTTTTTTCTCTGTTCTTCTTCAGAGGAATCATAACTATCGTCTTTTCTTGAGTATTTTTTCTTGGCCTTTTTTGCAGACTCAATTTTACTCAAATTTTTTATTTCTTTTTCTAACTCAGAATCGTAATTTGAAGAATCTGAATAATTTTGTCGTTTCTTTTTTGCAGAAGCAGCACTTTTGGCTGATTTGCCTCTTTTGGCATCTAAATCCGAACCAGAACTGGAACTTTTTCTTTTTCGTTTTCCATTTTCATCCTTTACTGGCTGCTTCTTTAAAACATTAAAAGACTTCTGAACATTTGCTGGTGCTTCACTATTGCTATCAATATCTGAAGAACTGTGACTCATCATAGCTACCTCTTTAAGAACAGCTGGCATCTCATCAGAATCTGAGCTGTGATCTAATACATCTGGCTTTTTCGATTCAGAAAGTTTATTAGGGCTAGGACTGTCAATAGTACTGTCAGAAGAATTTCTTTTATCTTTTTTCCCCCTCGGTTGTTTGGATGATTTCCTCCTACGTTTTTCATTACACGTGTCATTACTATCTTCTTCCGAATTTGATGTTAAAGGATTAACGTCTGTTTGGCGCCTCAGAGGTGTGGTCTTCACACGCGGGGATCTCCTGAGGTCAGATTCCTCTGGAGGCGAGGCAGTTTCTTTTTCTGTGCAACGTTCATTGACAGCATTATGATTTTGTTTTACAGAATCACAGTTTTCGGCTCTAGGTATTACACGAATATCCTTATTTGCCTTTTCTGGATTGCTGTCTTGATCATCAGTTTTAACTGTAGACTCAGAAAGGGAAACAGGAGTCAATTTTACAATCAGTTCCTTTGTTCCTTTAGCTGATGCTTTTAACTTAGTTCCACCTTTGGTATCTTTCAAAGGAGCGTTCAATTTTATGTTTGAATTTGGAGTCTCCTGATCTGTTGCTGTATTTCCATTGCCTTGCTCACCTGCCGCAGTCTGAACTTCCATAGCAGATTCTAGAGTCTCAAAAATGTCTTCAGGAACTGATGAGGGAACGGATACTATATCCATGTCTAAAGCCTCTGTACTATTAGGTTCATACTGAGGTTCGTCATTTCTGCCAGACCTTTTATCTTCACCAGTCGTACGCTTGTTATCTGTTCGTCCCGTTGTTGGAACACTTTGATCCATGGGCTCACTGTCAGGCTGTTCTGACACAACTTTTTTCTCTGCCTTTACGACGTCCTCCTCTTTTAACTCTGTGTGTTCCTTTCCTTCATCTTTTTTCGCCTCATTTTTTTCAGATTTAAGATCAGTTTTTTTCTCTTTGGTACTTTTCTCTTTGATTTTAACATCCAACGCTTGAATTTCCAGGTTCAGACCTTCTTCTAGTGCCAGATGAGCTTTTTTGATGTCACCCAATACAGATTTAAAAGCTTTTAGCTGACGAAGCTGCACGGTTGGGCTGACATCTACATTTTCTGCAGCCTTTTTCAAAAAGCTTACAAAACTAGCATTCATATTTGCTGTAGTCTCGACCAGCTTTTTTGTTTTTTTAAGCATGTCTTTTGGCACCATAAGTGCTTTATAAGAGTATGTTAGTGAACCAGAATATGAATCATCTAGTTTTTTTTCTTCACCATTACAATTTGAATTATTTCTCTTTGGAGAAAATTTGAGCGTATGGTCATATATTTTACTTTTTTCACTTTCAACTCTGATCTTTTTTTTGTTTTGTTGCAATAACTGTTCTAAATTTTCAAAGACACTGTCACATGCAGTGACCAAGTCCAACAAAGGTTCTGGATGGCAAATATAGCAGTGCCACTGGCTATTTTCATCCAGTATGGTTGACAGCTCCTTTCGACCCAGGTTGCGCAAAATGCACTTTTTACAGAAGGCGTTATGGCAAAAGTCACAGCAAATTAAATTTCCACCTTCAGCACACCATCTGCAATGAGACATAAGAAATATAAAATTATCTCCATATAAACAAGGTGAAAATTTTGAGAAGCGTACAGATGTTTCACTGTCAAACATGAAGAATTTGCATTTTAAAAATTCAGATGGTAAACAGGCATCCATTAATTGAAAACATTATTAAAAACATGATGGAAAAGCGCCCACTAAATTGGAAAGTCAGAAAATTAAGGTTCAAATGAACAGTTCAGGAAGTTGAAAAAGCTATAAATATCCAAATAGAATTTCAGTACCAATTGTATCTCCGTTCTAACTACTGTTGCCCAGCCTTCATATATCAGCGCAAATAAGAGAAAAACTAATTAGTTTTCCCTGTTCCTTCTGAGAATTAAAAAAGAGAGCGAGTCTTTTGTTTTAGAGCAATACAATCAGCTCAAGTCTTTGCAGCCTGAATGCACATTTCGCTATGTAGACATTTGTTTTTTCTGATGTATGTCTAGTTCACAAAATCTTTGATCAAAACCTAAAAAGCGGAAGGAGCAATCCCATAGGCAGCATAAACTGCACGATTTTGACTGGATTACATACTTATGTATCTGACATAAAGACAGAGAAGTACCCTAGTCTTTCAGAACCGGGAGCTGTATCCAGAAAAGTAAGATTCTGTGGCCCACCAGGTTTAGAAGGTCAGATTCTATCACCAGCTTTAAATTTAAGTATGTGTACGGTGGTAGGCTATTTAGTTTAAAATATTATGTTTATCACTAGATTTCTTTAAAAAAAAATGTTTCCCTGTTGGAAATGAAATATTTACATAACCTTGGTGTTGAACATTTCTTAGTAAGAAATGACTGCTGCTTGGGCTCTTTAGTACTGGTCTTTATTCATTAATAATTTTATTACTGCTAGGAAAAAAAAAAGAAAAAAACAGAACTGCTCTGAGTGTTAACACAGATTTTATATACTTACCTACACTGTTCGTCCATTCCATCTGAATCACGACTGATGTCATCGCTCATGTAATATTTGTAGCAAGTCTGCAAATAAAGCAATAGAACAACGAATTTTTAATTAAAATCTCATCTGAAATTTTACAACTCATAATTTCTACATGTATTACAAGTAGACTATTACAAACAGCAGCTAAGAGGTTTTCAGCATTCTAACCATTTTATGTTCATGATGAATCTAAAAAACATTTTCCATAGACACAACAGACCCTAAACCATGACTTATTTAGATTACTCAAGATTGATTTGAAAATTAAATAATAGGTTTTCATTTGATGGTGACATATTTTTTACATTTTTGAACATCCATACTGAGTGTTTCTTTGCATATCTAGAAAAACTATTTCAATCTACTTTCTAGGAAAATCAAAACCACAGTAAAAAAAGAAAATGACATATCTTCACTGACACGATTGATACTGCATAAATTACATAATTACAATTGAATAATTTTCAATTGTATGCTTTTTTATGCTAGCAATTGATCCATAAGGTTTTCAACAAAAATGTCTTTGGTATCTATTCTGATTTTAACACCCAGGGCTTCAGTTTCCAGGCACAGATCCAGCAGTTTCATTGAAAAATGAGTAACACAGTAACAAAAGCAACACATGCAACTCGGGTAGTAGCAGCGGCTGCAATTGCCGAATTCTTTAAATCAAATTTGGAAGGTTTTTTTCCAGTTGTTAGTAAAGAAAGTTCTCCTTGACTTGAAGTACTACTTTGAGTAAGGATTAAATATAAGCCTTTAAACTAAATTCTGCCATTATATGCAGTGAATTCAGAATCCAGAAGAGATGTCAGCACATGAATTCAAGAGGCCCCTTCAAATGGAATATAGAGCTCAATACCTGCTCAATCAATCTCAAAAACAAAGGGGGAGGGGAGAAAGCTACAGTAAAAACAGATGTTTACACTGTCAACAGAGCATTCAGAGGCAAGGAAAAGCAGCTTCTGAAAAGAGACTGAAACGTCTGGGACTGTTTACCTAAGTAGGAGGAAAAATAAGAGAAATAAGCTGAAAAAATAATGGAAGGAATAGAGTATGCAGGTCAGGAACTTCCATTCCCCTTTCACACATTAATGGAAGGCCATATTCAATTCAATACAGAAAAATTTATGAGAAACAACATGTCCTATAATTACCTAGCAGAGCTCATAGTCAAAATGTGTTACTGAACCCAACAGCCTAACTAGTTTAAAAAATGAATCAGATACTTGCATGTACCACAAGAATATACAGTGTTACATGTTAAGGACTTTGAAGTTTGGGTACAAGAGTTAGGACTCTGACAGAGGTGGGGAACAATTTTCTTGTGAGCCAAATTTTCTAAAGCTTACACAGCATGTTTTATAAAAAGAAACAAGCCAAAATAAAGGAAGGAAATAAGCCAGAGCATTAGATTAGACGGGCATGTCTGATTCAGTAGGTCACCTGAATATTTCACATTAACTGGGATTTGGGGGAGAAGAGGAGGGAGTGAGGAAAAGGTGAACGCTAAAAGTTTACTGTAAGACAGACTTACATACCTCTTTGAAAATTCAAAGAGGTCTCCACTGCAGGAGCTAAGGATATTTTTGCCTCCCCACCTCTTCCCCATCTCCTCCACTGCAGACAACACAGGGCCAACTGAAGCCACCATGAACTACGTGGTCCCAAGACCCAGATGTTCGTTTTGGGCCACGGACCAGGTCATCACTACAGAGGCTGCCATGACAGTCCAGCAGCTGTATGCAGGTGAAACTGCGATGGCTTTGAAGCTAACTTTCTGCTGCTTATGCCAATATTTTATACACAGTGCCTGAAGTTTATTAGCTAAAAAACAAGAACTAGTCCCACAAAAAAACCCACCCAAATCCCCTAACATGACATTCCAAACAAAAACAGAAAACAAACAGTACAATTTGTAGAAATGTTTACCACTTACCTTACAAATAAGAACTTTCAGTGTAGGATGTCTATAGATTGAATCCTTTTGAAAATGGTTCACCTGTTGCCCACAAGCTGTACAGCTTACAATTCCATGAAGTCCTTCCTCTATAGAGAGGATTATAAACCACGCGTTAATTTTTTTTTTTTTTAAAGAAATCTGTATATACCTACTTCATTTTCTTAAAGTATTTTTTGGCTTGTCAGGGTTTTCCATATGCCTTCACCACCCAGCATTAGAGACAGGTTTCTATAATCACTCACCATTTAAAGACTGAAAGATTTTTTTTCCTCAAATTTCTGTACTTCACTTGGGGCCAAGCTAAAATTTCATTCCTTTGAGAAATCTATAATCTTGGACTAACTGATCATTACCTGAGGACACATCTGAACACGTGAGCAGCCACCAAAAATGTTTCAAAGCAGCCCTGATATTCTGCACAACCTTCCTCCTTTAATCTTTGTTTTAAATAATATTTTTATTATGCCATTTGTTTCACATACAGCTTTAGTTTCACAAGGAAAAATATGGGAAACCACGACTGAAGATACATAAAATCCTTATAAAACACACAACTGAAATAGTTACGGCTTCTGTCACAGTACAGGACCACTAGGCTATTCTCCTAAACATTGTCTGAAAAATTCTTATTCACTTTTTGTTTCCTTATGTTCTTCTGTTTGAAACTACGATTTTTCTACAGCACATGCATTATCTCTATCTTGCTGATTGCTCCATGCAGTTTTGCATAACGCTTGGATGCTGTATCTACTCAGCAGATACAGTACTTTGTAGGTACTTAGTACTTTGGTCAAGAAAGCATTGCTTTGATGTCAGTCCCCCATTTTACTTTGAAAGGTGGTGGGCTTGGAAGGCTTGCTATCTGCCACACTGTTTAACTGATTAATTAATACTACACGACTGTTTTCCTTTCATCAGCAGCAATGCTTCCAAGAAAAGAGAAAGTTGTTTGAGAAGCTCGTCCAAACAGCCTTATAAAAATTTAATGCGGGATCAAGCAGATAGAGGCTTGATATGAGATCACTGAACTGCTACTTGTCCTTCGCTTTCATGTGCGGTACTATAAGAAAGTTAACTCAGCAGGGTAAGGGTTTGAGTACAGACTATATAAAAAAAAACAAAACAAAAAACATCAAACCAACACACAAACACATACACACAATTAGAAGCAAGCACCAACACCACCACAACGTTAAGAAACCGAGTGAACTTTCTCAAAACATGACAACTTTGCTACTAGCAAAGACCAGCGATTTTGCTGTTGACACATAAATCTCAGAGAGATTACAGGCCCGTGAGGACAACTAATATACAATTAATATCAGATCTCACTGGAATCACAAATTTTGCATGTAAGGTTTGTTGCGTTCAACCCCCTCGCAGGCGTATTTTCATGTAAGAGAGTTCCCAGACTCGCAAAGCACCCCCAAACACCTCAAAAACCCACTCAAACACTTCTGTTCCCAATGCTGCTGAATAAACACACCCATCATATTTCACTAATGGGAAAAGAGTACCTCCTTCTCTTATACCAAACACCACAGAAGTCTAGATAGACTTTGTCAAGCTTCATAGTCTTTCAACAGGTACAAGAATCACAAAGGTAACAGCAAACTGCGGGAGAATACGCTGTTTACTCTCAAGTCCCAAGCCACTTCCGCTTTCTCTGCAATTTTGAGGGGAGGCACTACTGCCTACTTCCTAAAACCTGCAAGCTGAGGAAAAGAAGGTAATCTATGATGCAAACTAACTAGGAAAAGAGGATCATCTATGATGTAAACCTTTGTAAACCATGCTGTTATTACTACAAATGACCATGGTCGAAAAAATTAAGTCACTGCTAATTCATTAATACTGAGAAAATACTTATTTGAAAAACATTTCCAACTATAAGATCATCAGCAAAAAAAAAGTCCATAACCATTTCGCAAACATAACCTGGAACTAAGTACTGACACAATGCCTTTTATAGTCTTGGATAGGAACATCTGGATGCTAGAAAGGCAAAACAATTCCATTACTATGAATATTTCTAATATATGTAAACAGGTCATATAACTCATAATGAAAATGTGAAGAGGCAATCCGCAAAGAATAAGATAGACTGGCAATTTTTTTTTTTATTATTATTATTCAGGATCTCCTGAGTCATACACGCCCACCTGCTTAAACCAGTAGCGTTTAACCTTCTACGGGCACAGGCCACGGCACCTCATTCTAGTGGCAAGAGAAGGCTAATTGCCGCTTCATTTAACTAGACTTTTTGATTGTGGGATGCAGAATAAACTGGGATCTTTTCTGTACATATGTCACAAACCAAACTTAGATATATTCCTAACCCAGCTGCTCTAGAGGAGGACTGCAGTCATGACTCTCTCCCAGCTACCTTTCCTGGTCTACAAATGGAGCAAGCAGTACCTACTGCCTTTCGTTGAAAGGGGAGAGGGTCTTAACACATGTACTGGTTATCTTTAAAAACAGGTCCAACAAAAATTATCAGTGGTGATACAGACATAGCTGAGCTTTGCCCTGGGTAAAGGGATGGACTAGACAAGTTCTTGGTGCTCCCTCCTTCCACAACTCTTATCCTGTGTGAGGCACCAGTACATGAGGAACCAGTCCAGATACACAAAGAAGGGGCCTCACGTTCCCCAGAGGCGAGGGGAGAGGACAAAGCTGGTAGGGAAGGTGATATGAATTGTCCTGGGATGCACACACAGCCCGTGAACCTTAAGTAGAACAGTCCTGTAAGCTTACACTGGCCTGTAAGCTATTTTTAACATTATACCCCTGAAGATTTCAGCTGGAACTGCTGGAGAATTATTTGCTATAAACATATATGGAAAAAAGATTCCTACCAGATGAACAGAGTGTCTCCCAATAATATAACTGAACTAACTTGTCTTTTAAAGACTGATAATTTAGAGAAACTGTCAATGCTCAAAACATGATTAACAACATACATGAGCTCATATGTATGCACAAGCACATTTCCTCACAATCATGTTTTACTCCTCTTCAGTCACAAATGGAGAAATAGCACATATAAAATTATAATAAGACATTAATAAGAGAATAAGTCTCTCAAAGGATACAAGGGAAGAAGGAACAGCTAGTACAACAGCTTGTTCATCTGATTATCCTGGATACCGCTGTTGGTGTGTGAACTAAGATATTACCAGTAGTATTAAAAAAGAAAATGTCTGTCTTCTGATTGGACGGTTTATACATGCCCTCCTTTTCTTTTTGAAAAAAAAAAAATGAGAGAAACGTATGCTATCACTAACATGAACCTATCTTCTCAGTTTTAACAGAGGCAACAGGTAACTGGCTGGCACAGTGGGTTTTCACAGATAACCCTTAGAAGGGGCCCACTGGCAGGAGATTTCCCAGTAATTAACACAATCTTTGGATTTTGTTGGGGAATTTTAGCTTTCTTGTCAGTTTACTGACTGATAGCATGTCTACACGTGTCCCTTCTAAAATCTGATGTCTTTCTTGGAGTCAGTGAATGTTCTGGTATCAGCAGTGTTCCAGTTTAACTCCTTAAAGAAAGGAATACGCAACACACCTGAGTGCGATCAATCAACTGTTCTGAATACAAAGCAAGGAGGGTCCATACGAAGTACCTAATGACGCATCCTATAGCTACTGAAAATAAGAGGTTTAATGAGAACTAATCTTAGCTTTCACTGCTGCATTGCAAGGGCAGCAATGAAGGCTAATTTGAGCATGCTAGAACCCCTAAGGAACAAACAGCCAGAAGAGTGGAGGTATTTTTAGGATAATTCATTAGAAATATAAACAATTTTTAGATGTACCAAATGTGGTCATAAGCAGCAATTTAAACCCGTTTTAATAAATGTTTTAAATTGTATTTACCTCCACGCTTTTTGGGAGCTTCAGGTTTCATTTTAACGGTATTTCTGCTTCTAAATTCAGGCCCTTTAAAATCATCTTTGTCTTCATTCAGCACTGGCTCAGGCTGTACAACCACTGTACCTAGAATAATTTCATTTAAAAATTGGAAACCATTACACATCCAAATGAAGTGCAAGAGTCCTGTTTAAATAAAAGCCAACACAGTATCTTACCAAAAAAAAAAAAAAAAAGTGCAATCTGTTGACTAAAACTCAACCAGATGTTCATAGGACAAAAAGCAAACACCACACACGTCAAACTGATTTCCATCTCACAGTTGTAGGACAGAAGCCGAAGACTGACTGGGCTATGAGGAGCAATTTCTGCTCTCTATATCCAGAAGTGGTCCATGCATAACAGGGCTGTCCTACTGTTGGGAATTTGCAATGCTATGCTGCAACTAAAGGACTTCCTTTTCGTAACTTAAATCTGTCAAAAGCCTTAGAAGTAACTACTCCTCCCTCTCTGCCTTTTCCCACTTCTACCCAACTTTCTTCACCTTATTTCACTAAGAAATGAATGAAAACACAACAGAATAAAACGTATTCCTTCCTTTTACAAAATTCTGAAATTCACATTTTTATTTAAACAGAGAACAACGCTAATCAGAATTATGTGAATGAAAAACTGTCTTTCACACCCAAAGCTCAGTTTTAATACTTTTGTGGTGAGGACACTGGAAGTAATCAAACATTCTGAAAAAATAACCTTAAAGGGACTGCTAGAGGGATTACTACTCATATAGTGAACAGCAGCAGTTCCTCAAAATCTTCCTGCCACTTTCAAAGGTGAGGAATGGAAGAGATTAATCAAGCCCACACTACAGTTATGAACAGCAGGATATAGGTTTATAGGGTTAACCTTTTAAAAATTGTGCTTAAAAATAAATTCAGTAATGACATTTCTCCCCCTCCCCCCTGCAAGATTTAGTTTTGCTTCTGTTGATCCAATTTTTAACAGCCTCTTAAGACAGAACAGTAAAAATAAATAAAAAAACAAATAAGTAAGACCTGGAAGGGACATAGGGATTTTGAGACTTTTACCTAAGAACAGAATTAAAATATTTTCCCTGTTTCATGTTGGTCTTATTTCTACAAAAATATAGATGTCAGTACACATCTGAAATTAAGCCAGCAGCATATTCTGGTAGACCCACAGGTTAAAGTATGCTGGGTCCAACTTAAAGGTACTTGAAGATATGCTTTCCTCTTAAATGTGCGTGCACATGTGTATGCCTATATGCAAAAGCCGAAAGAACCTAAGAGAGGCATTTTACTAATGCATGTGCATTCTAGTTAATTATTTATGCTGCATCATAACGTTGGCTAATTTGCTGAATTCAGAAACAAAGACAGATATGAACTACCTTTAGGCAAGCTTTTCATATCAACATCGTTTTCTGAGTTTTCATTTGAAATATCTTCATTTACATTTTCATCTAAGATTTGTTCATCATCTGATCCGACATATTTTGTTACAACTGTAGGTTTCCTGCATAGACAGAAAAAAAACATACTGTGACAAATATTACATATTGCAATACAGGTAAGCCTGGTGCTTTGCAAGCAAAACACCATACTAATTGGGGGAATCTATGTTCTTTTTCTGATTAATTAAGAGATTATTAAGAGGGATTCTCTGAGTTATTACGATACATAAGTTGTAGGGTAATTTTCTTGTTAGGAGCAGTTTGTCTCCCTCAACCCTCCTACCTGAAATAAAAAGATTCACTAGTGAAAGATTTTTGTTTCAGAGGTTTTGGTTTTTTTTTTTTTTTTTT